GCTTTTGGTAAAAAAAAAAACTTTTTTTTTCGGATCAACTTGTGTCTGGTCAAAGTTTGTCGGATTAGTTGACATCACAGGTTTTTCTTATTTTGTTAGCAAATCCCATCGAAGTTTTTAGTGAAAACGTTGTAAGTTGTTGTTTTAGAGGGACTGAAAGATTGTCTTGCTCAAAGATTATTGGCTTTGTTTTCTTATTTTGCTAATTTAGTATTCAAATGTCTGGCATCTTGGCCCAGTTTTTTAATTTTTTTTTCTTTTTTTTTTGTTTATAATGTTTATGTTGTATCGGAAATGATACGAATCCCCGCGTTGCATGTGTTAAAAATTTCGCACACTGCCGACAAAACTGCGTCATTTAATCTGAATTAGATATTTCGGTTTAACCGAATCAGGTAATTCTTTTCTGATGCTGCTCTTATGCTCAATTGTATAAAAATCAAATTTAGCTACTGGCGTAGTTTCAATGATCTTGATAAATATTTTTATAATGTTATAGTTGTTTTGGAGTTTTTTATGCTACAAACAAAGCCACAAAGTGCTTTAAACTGAGACATCAGATGACAGGCCTTGCTCAATTTCAAGAAAAATCCAAGTTGACTACCGGCTCTTTTTTCAATGATCTTCAGTGTTTTTTCTTTCACATCTAGTCGACGTATTGCATGCTACATGCAAAGCCACAAAGTTTTCATATGACAGGCCTTGTATTGTTTTTTTTGGTAATTTTGAAAAAGACATTTTATTTTGGGTGATTTCAAACAAGATATTTGATGAAATAGTGGTAGTTTGTTCTCAAATCCTATTTTTGTTTTATTATTTGAAGTTTTTATTTATATTTTAAGTGTCATAATGTTTATGTTGTATCGGAAATGATACGAATCCCCGCGTTGCATGTGTTAAAAATTTCGCACACTGCCGACAAAACTGCGTCATTTAATCTGAATTAGATATTTCGGTTTAACCGAATCAGGTAATTCTTTTCTGATGCTGCTCTTATGCTCAATTGTATAAAATCAAATTTAGCTACTGGCGTAGTTTCAATGATCTTGATAAATATTTTTTTAATGTTATAGTTGTTTGGAGTTTTTTATGCTACAAACAAAGCCACAAAGTACTTTAAACTGAGACATCAGATGACAGGCCTTGCTCAATTTCAAGAAAAATCCAAGTTGACTACCGGCTCCTTTTTCAATGATCTTCAGTGTTTTTTCTTTCACATCTAGTCGACGTATTGCATGCTACATGCAAAGCCACAAAGTACTTCATATGACAGGCCTTGTATTGTTTTTTTTGGTAATTTTGAAAAAGACATTTTATTTTGGGTGATTTCAAACAAGATATTTGATGAAATAGTGGTAGTTTGTTCTCAAATCCTATTTTTGTTTTATTATTTGAAGTTTTTATTTATATTTTAAGTGTCAATCAACAAGTGAATATTAAGGTGTTTACCCAGGTTTTATTTGATTTTTTTTTCAAGTTCACTTCAAATTCGTTTGCTTTAGGAAAGTCCAGTTACACGATTGAAAAACGAGAGTGTAAATAGCTTGTTAAAAGAGGTTTATTACTTTTGAGAAGAGTCTTAGTTCCGACTATTGAAAATGGGTGGAACGTTGTTTTCGTGTGTTTTTTTTTCTACGCAAAATTAGGTAACACAAATAATCATTGGACTGGGTCGAGTGATGTATCATAATAAAGCCTTTTCTGTCGGTATTTGAATCATATTAAAAAGCCTGTATCGAGAAAAACCGGTTTGAAGTTTTTGATTGTTCGTCTAGTTTCGACCGACGAAAGCCAGCGAGAAGGCTTAACTATGCTTAATTTGGGCCGTTTACAATAGCTCAATTTTGCTCAGGTTTAATTTTACTCGCGTCAAATTAGTTTTTGGGGATGCTTAATGATTTTTTGTTAATCAAAAAAAGTTCTGCAAAAAAATTGATATATAAAAAATGGATGTTTTCTTTTTGTTTTTCTGGTCTTTTTTTTCAAAAACTGTTGTCCTGTTTGCCTATATCTCTTTGTATGTCGAATATGTCTAAGTTATAGTTTTATGTCAGATCCTTTTATCACACCATGCAGAAAAAGCTACACTTGTTTGAAAAAAAAATTCGGTAGATTTCTAAAGACTCTGGTCGGAGCATTCTGTGCTAAAAGACTATAATAGCTGGCTATCCTTGTTTAGTTTTTAGATTTGGAGCGGATTATAAGAATTTCTTGTCTATAAGGGTTTTTCAAAGTTAGTTAGATTCAGTTATATCGTGATATATATTTTTGTCGTTGAAATTCGAAAGTTGAATCGTTGATTTAGGCCTAAAGATTAAGACTTTTGGATAAGGCCTAATGTAAAGTTTGTCTCAAATGAGCAGAATAGTGCGTAAGGTCTGGTTGATGGGTATGGATATTGTTCCAGCGGCTAAAAAATAGTTATGTTCGTTATATCAAGAAACGTTGGCATTTTCACTAAAAGAAAATTAGTTGTGGAAGCTTTATTTAGCGCTTCAATTTTGAAGATAGTATCTTCTCATAGTGGTAATCAGGGGCGGATCTAGCTGGGGGGGATTCAACAAAAATTTTTCTAATTTTGGCGGACTGGTTGACCACATGGTTTTTCTGAGCTCTCCCAAATCACTCTGAAAACCCTATTTTGACGAAATTTTCAGCGTCGCAGGCAGGCGTTGTTAGCTTTTTTTTCGGAAAATTTGACCGAAAAATTGTGTTTTTTCGTCGCGCGCTCCCCACAAAATTAGTATCTGTTTGCGCCAAAGGCGCCTTTGGAAAATTTTTATGGTCAGTCAGTCAAATTCGATATCTTAAAAAAGTGCAAAGGTAGCGCTGCGCTTGGCTTGAGCCTGAATTATGTTTTCATCTCAATGCAAAAATCTAGTGAAAAAAATTTCTCAGTGCAATAATCTAATGAAAAACCATAAATGATGACTCCTCCCGTGTTCAATTTTTCAATTGAATTTTTTGAAATCTAGTAGCGTTAGAGATTGAATAGACCATGAAACATATACCCTTTTCACATAGTCATTGCGATGCCTAAACGCACATGTTGTTGTAAACATATGTTTTTGTAAAGTGGCGCAAAGCTGGCTTCGCCTCTATACAAATTCAATATTTTGAAGGCAATTTTCTTGCTTTATCCTCCGCCTGTCAAGAAAAACTAGCAAATATTTTGAAAATCCTTTGAGTCTTAGTTTTTCATTTTTCAAAAAATTGAGATGAAAGTGACAGGACATTGTGCTACTTCCTATTTGATGTTTTTTTTTGATATCTGAAATTTTTTATCCGTTTGATGGGTTTTTTGGCCTTTAATGCAGTGCGACCCCTCGTAAGAAGCCTATAAGTGATAACTTTTATTTTAGTGTGGCAAAATAAGTGAATTTAAGTTTGAATTTGGAAGACATATTTTTGAATTATATTTTTATCACCATACTCGAAGCTCGAATAGAAGTTGACTGAAATAATGAAATCAATGCGAAATTTTGTACTTGTTGAGTTTCCCCTATACCGCACCATTAAATTGAAGCGTTTATTAATTTGTTAGATTGAACGAGCGCAAATGTGGTGTATACTGATACCATTTCATCATCTCGCTTTTGCGGGAAGACGGGCGAGCTCGTAAGGAAATTTGATGCATGATACGCACTATAGTCGCAGCCCAATTTCTGTATGTAGCCTCAATCAGGGAAAATTAAAGCTTCTAAAACTAAACCATTTCCATTCCTTCACTCCAACCCATGTTTGATTACAAATGAGAATCTTCTCCGCTGTGTAGTAGGTGCTCTGCTCTCGCTCTGCGTTTTTTTTGCTACCCAGTCGATAATAAGTTGCAATAACAATTGACCATAATCGCCTCTCAGCCGGTTCTTAGTGTCTCGCTCTTTCTCATTAGACACATTCCGCCGGCACACTCAGCTTGCAATGATTGCTTCTTTTCCATCTATTGATAATTCCTGACAGTTATTGTTTCAATATCGATCAAAATTTGATCCAACATCTGCAGATATTGCATCTGAACTGACTCTTCACTCATTGTTTTGTGTCTATTGTTAATAATTGTTCTGACTGCGCTAAAAGCTTTCTGTATCAAGTAGATTGATTGTTGCTCATTTTTAACGAGGCACCGTAAATTGTTTCTATCGTATTCTTTCGACAAGTATGTTTCAATTAATTTAGGCTGCCGAGGTTAAATGGTCTGTTTCCTGCATCCGCGTTGCATTGACATAGAAGGCTATTTCTGAGCTCCTTAAACGGCTCTCGCAAGTTTAAATTGTGGCAAATATATTTATTACTCTTTGCTTATAAAAAAGCATTGTCAGAGCCGGAAGCATCTATTGAAGTGCTTAGTCCAAATTTCAATTAGCTGCATCTTTTGTCATCCAATATCATGGATTCATCTACAAGTAAGTTTGTTCATAGTTCTCATAGTTCATTTTAACTTTGATTCATTTTGGGCAAACGTAAAGTTGGTTACTGCTAATGTAAATTGTTTTGTGTATGCTAAATATTTCCTAATCACTGTTTATTAGGAAGATATCAGCGACTATTTGTTGATGGTGAATTCCCATAGGTTCCAATATTCATAGGTTCCAAAATAAAAAAATCAGTCGCATAAGTTCCAAAATTTATCTTCTTGAATTCTGATTGGTTGAAATTTGAGCCAACGAATTTATGGATTAATTGTTTTCTGTTCAACCAGCATAAGTTCAAGCTGCAGAATAGTGACCGCCGCAGCCGCGCCAACGTGTTGCGAGCTTGCCACCAAAGGGTAGGACTCTATACGAAATTTAGAGCCGGTTATCGGCGCGAAGCGGCGACGCGCGCATAGCGCGCCCACCGGCGACCTTAAACCGAGACTCGGTTAATTTAGTCTTTTGACCAATTGAAAAAATTTAGAACTTATGCGACTGCTATTTTATTTTGGAACCTATGGAACTGATTTTTCATTTTGGAACCTATGAATACGCACCTTGTTGATCGGTGGATTAATTATCCGGAAGTCGTTGTTGATTAAATGTATGCGTCAACTGTGGCTTATTTTAGATAGAAATCTTGATAACACTGCCTCAAGAAAACACCCCGAAAATAGCAGCAGCAGCTCATCTTCTTCCGCTTCGACCTCAAGTGTCTGCACTTTCAAACTCCCAACCAACAACTCCAAATCTACATCTACCACTAGTACTAGTCGCAGAACAGAGAAAGAGCACCTATTGTCTAACAGCACTAAGTCATCAGTTGAACTAGAAAAGCAGTCACAAAAGAGCCACCCTTACTCATCCCAACAGCAGATAAAGAGTGTCAATACAACCGAACGCGATTATAAAGTTAACGTGGTCGCTTCAGATCAAGACACCAAGGCCAAAGTAGAATTGCCGACGAAGGAAGAGTCCAATAAGAGTGTTTCTAGAAACATTTCGACAGGGAACCACCAATCGAGACCAGTGCTAACCAAACCGGTGGAATCGAGTAGCAGCGAGAGTAGCCGTGATAATTCTTTTTCTTCTTCCCACAAAAAAGCCAGACAAAGTCGCACGACAGTTTTGACTCCGTTGTTGACACATAGCTCAGAATCATCAGCACCACCAGTGAGTATCTAAAAAGGCGATCTTAACCTCAGTCAGCAAAAGCGGGCTCTATTGAGAGAGTTTTGTCAAATATTGTATGACAATTTAAGAAAGGACTTGATGTCCACTTTATACCTTAACATGATCTTACAAGAACTGTTGCAATTGGCAGATTGACACCAACAAGTTTTCTTATAAATCATACAGATTTCTTTCGTACGTTTAAAGCTGCTTCTTTTTCGAGCTTCATATACTTTAGCTGATTTTGATTTGAATTTTCACTCGTTACATAGTGCCTTCAAAACTACTCCATTAGCTTTCTCAAAATGAGCATAAATTACGTCAAAATGTATCTGAAATTATTGGTGTTTAACTTAATCATGTCTGTAGCTTGCGAAGATGGGTAACGAGAGTTCACTGCCAATGGAATTGTGTTCGACATTCGACGCGGAGGAGATCAAACGTCTGGGCAAGCGGTTCAAGAAGCTGGACCTGGACAACTCCGGATCTCTCTCAGTGGACGAGTTCATGTCTCTCCCGGAATTGCAACAGAATCCGCTGGTTCAAAGAGTGATAGACATATTGGATGTGGACGGGAATGGAGAGATCGACTTCAAAGAGTTCATTGAGGGAATCTCACAGTTTAGCGTCAAAGGTGACGTCATCGCACTTTTCTGATACATTACCCTAGCTGGGTCGGGTCTCCCGAAAGTTATTACCTTTTAGATTATGTACTGTGTCTTTTGAAAACACCTAGAAGCTGCTTGGTGTGTTGTTGTTTTTCTTGCGATAGATCTATTAATAGACGATACACCGGGTTCTGTGTCATTTTTAAAAAAAGCGCGTGTGAAAAAGAAGTAATATCTTTTCAAAATGCTGAAATTTTTGTTATGTTTTAATTGAATTCGTTTTTTTGGTACAGTTTTAACATTTTTGCATTGTTTAGGTGACAAAGACTCCAAGTTAAGATTCGCTTTCAAAATTTACGACATGGACAAAGACGGATACATTTCAAACGGAGAACTATTCCAGGTACGTGGTTTCATATGTCATCGTTAGTTGAGAAGTTTCAGCTATTAAAAATAACTTCTGAAGTGACTGAAGAATAGACGCTTGTTCGTTCACAATATGATGATGGAAACAAAGGATGATGGACAGAGGGCTTGAATCGCATGCGTGATTTTTCTATGGTTTAGTGTTCTATATTTTAATGGTGTTGCTTTGATTTGTAGGTGCTGAAAATGATGGTAGGGAACAACCTGAAAGACACGCAACTGCAGCAGATAGTAGATAAGACCATATTCCACGCAGACACTGACGGAGATGGCCGAATATCCTACGAGGAGTTCTGTGCTGTAGTGGGAACCATGGACGTGCACAAGAAGATGGTTGTCGACGTCTAGCCCCAGAAAGCCCTCATCCTCCGCCCCAACACCTAGTCCACGTCTCAAACCCCCTCCTCCCCAAACTAACCTAGAGTAGAGTAGAGAGAAATGGAATCGAAGTCGAAATTTAAGCAGTCTGCAATCAAAGCAGAATGAAAGAACACGACAGTATTCTCTATAATTGGGTGAAATCATGACCTAGTTAATGCTTATTGGGGAAACTTAATACTATTACGTTAACAGAAGCTGCGCTACTCATTTATGAGCATAACAGAGCAAGATTTATTGGATTAGCTGACATTAGGTTAACACTAAAGGAACAATTTCAAAACTTGACGAATTGCTGAGGTTATCTTTGAATCTGGTAAATCTGAAAATGAACAAGCTATTTCGATATGTCAGCTCAGGTATGCATGGTGTTAGCATAACAAGTGAAAGCAGTTTGAGGCTTACTTACTAATTAGACGCAAACTGAAGTGTTTGAAACTCAGTAGAGTAATCTAATACACCGTGGCCCATTCCGATTTTGTTTTGATTGATTGAGTTAATTTCAAACCCATTCTTTTGCTATTTTTGATATTTTCCTATTTTTTACTCGCTCGATATCGACCATTTTGATCAGATCGTTTTCTACACGAAGATTTAATTTTATGACAACTAGGGATGTTTTAAGTATTTGTTGTTTCTGGATATTTTCAAGAAATTTTAAAGAAATCAGAAGTTAAATCTTCGTCCCGTCGTGGAATGCAATTTTCATTTACAATTTGTCTTGAGTAATTTAGTTGCTGTGCATCATTTAGACAAAAGCCAACCGGACCTACTCTCCGAGTAACTATCTTACTATATGTGACCCTTTCATTGTGTTCTCCGGTTGTGTGCCATCATCATTGGTGTAAAATTCAAAAATATCCCCTGTTTAGTAGTTACTGACTGACTTTTCCTTGTGTCCTAAAAATAGCCAACCTCATTGTTTTGAAGATTTCAATTTGATCGAACTAGAAAGAAAGAGATGCTCCAGGTTTTATATTAGGTTGGCTACTTTCTAATTTAAGCCCGATTTGCTGATAGTAAGTTTAAAAGCTTGTAAAATGGAAACTTAAAAGAAATCGTAATCCTATCGACCGCAAAAACTAATGTGTCAAGTTTTAGGTACAAGATACACCAGTAATTGTTTTTGCTTTGCCATTAGATATTGGTTTTTAGAAAGATAAGTGTTGCATATTTCTGGTCATAAGAGGAAAAATCAGGAACACTCGAAGTTTTTGGTGCCACACAGCTGTGGATTTGCACTAAAAGTAAAAAGAAACACGCGAACTAATTCAAATAAATTTAAATTAGTTTTGTAAGCTTTTTAGTTTTTCGTTGAAATTTTTAGTAGTTTTGTCTCAGCCTCGGGAGTTATGAAACGCAGGCGCAGATTACAGTATCATAATAAAAAGTTCGATTCGATTTGAACTTAAATCAAGCATAAAATTTGAAACATGAATCATGAATAGGTCGTGCTCAAAAATAAAATGCATGGGGAAAAATTGCTATGCCCCCCACCTTCAAATTTTTGTCATGAAATTTGGAATTATAATTAAAGTTTTTGAATCTATCGGTTGGATCATTATCATTTTAACCCCATGGTTCATGATCACGTCCGCATTCGGGCTAATTAAGAGACATGATCTGCAATTAATGTGAGCAAATTTACTTAATTCACTCCCCCCTCCCAAATACCCGACAGTACTGCAAACTCGAATAGAGACTATACTGCTCACCCTTCGCTTGATTTGATAGGGATAGCTCACTGTTTAAATGTCCATATATAAAACTTCAAATATTTATGATTATTTTGTCGATTATCTTATTACCTCAGACATACGAGCACGCTTTTACAATTGCGACGCTTCTTTGTATATACAAATGTTAAATTAATGAAATTATTAAAATTTTTGCTTTTCCTCAGATTTAATAGAATTGACAGTTTTGAAATGAGATTTTTGAACATTGAGATGGAAAGCCTGTTTTGTGAGCATTATTTTAGTGGCCTTAGTTTGTACGTAAATTTTCCTTTGTTTGAACGCCGTATTTAGCAAATCCCTTATTTCTGGCGGTAAATTGGTATATAGCGTAAAATGGTATAGGGTAAATGGCGTGGGACAGATTAGAATTGGTAAGTTTTTCTGCTACCTTAAAATCCTATCTGAATTCTGGTCAAGAATTCTCTCTGAAATGCGTAAATAAAGCATGGATACTTCATTTCTTACCTGACGTCTTGTCAAAATTTTTCTTAAATTACGCAATTTCTAGCAAAAAATAACGAATTCCTAGCGGGAATCGAACCTCCGATTTTGTGCCAAGCTCGTTGACCACCAAGCTACAGAATTTTGAAAATATCAGTAATCAAAGCAAATCTATCCAAAATAACACTTGATTAGCTTCAAAGTACAGCCATTTGCAAATCTAGGTGGTAGATAAGAAGAAGCTAGTTCCTGCGCAGAAAACTGCAACGTTTTTGTTAGATTTTCTATATAGAACTTCAATCCAGCTTAGAAGCTTTTGTTGAATATGGGAGAACAACACAGTGACTAGACTGTTTTGGTATTTCACTATATACAAAATACTATGTGTGCTAATTGCGTAGCAACTGCTACCTTTGTGAAGTAATAGATTTTCAGCATTTATGCAACTTTTCCGACAGTCGCAATATTTTGTTCAGTTTCATTGCAGTTATTACGGAATTTTTTGCCGCCCATTTTTTTGCTGCATGAATTTGGCATTCATTTAGGTTTGCTAAAATTTAAGGAATACCTCCTTGCCGATGTTATTTGGTTGAGGTGTTCAAAAGAGGGTTCGATATCTACATTTTTGTTTCTACCAGTGAAATGGGACATGAACTTGTCCTTGTGTTTTAGTTCGTTATTCCCACGCAAAATTAGGTACCATAAATAATCATTAGATTGAGTCTAGTAATATATTATTTAGTAATATACTCGCTCAAATTAGTTTAAAAAGTAAAATTTTTCAAACTATTGAAGCTTTTTAAATGTTCAAATCACGACTGAAAGATAATCAGTCCTGATTTGAACATTTAAAAAGCTTCCAAAATATTTCTTGTCCAATAACAGGTTCAAAATGTTTACTTTTTAACCTAATTTTGAGCGAGTATACCAAGCGAGTAGCTTTTTTTTCTATGAAAACAGGTTATTCAAGCTTTGAAAAATTCGTGTTGAATATTCGTGTTATTGAATATTCGTGTAGCTCTTCCTGAACTTGAAAATTGAAAAATTCAAAGGTGTAAAAGTTGTATGATTTGTTGAAGTTATTTCGAAGACTGCTTTAATTGAATATGCTTGACTTACCACCTTTTTAGCTTTTGTCTAGTTTTTATTGCACAAAAAATGACACAAAAATGGAAATAAAAAACATTGTGTTATCTGAACAGCAACCGACTACTTTCTTTATTTATGAGTTATATGAATATGGAATTGATGTCCGACTGGAATGCCGATGGCTCTAAAAATAACTTCAAAGTAAAGGGTATTAAGACTCAATAAAATCCGTAGATTCCATGTTATTACACTTGCAATCGGGAACTGGACTTTTTTCCAGTAAACAACTTTTCCAGCAAATCTTATTTGCTATCCTACTTGCTTCATTAATGAAGCTTAAGAAATTTCAGGATCGTTCCCACTTTGCCTAGATGTAACGCCGTCGCCTGCGCAAACAAAGATCAGGGGATGGAGTCCCGATCGGACCTTGTTTTTTTTAGTTTATCTGCAAATGAAATAATTCGGTAAAAATTGAATGCGGGACTTTAATTTGTCTGCTCAAGTTTTGTCGGCTTAGTTAGGGATGTTTCTTGTGCTGTAAAGAGTTTTCATTATAATTGCCCAAAAATTGTGGGCTTTGTTTCAGCTTCGTAAATTTCGTTCCCTTGCCATTTCAATACTCAAATGATTTTCTTGGCTTCTTTGCCTAGAAAGGACTTACATATGAAAATTTTTTGTAGACCTAGTTTTTTCCAACATTTTTCATTTTTTAGACTTGTATTTGTTTTTTATCTCTCTTTTATCGCAAGTGATACGAAGCTTCGCTTCGCCTGTTTAAAAATTGTGGTTTTTTTTTGCAGGATCTATGCAAGGATATTCAGCCTGTCTAAGGATAGGCTGAGCTATTTCGTTGAGTGAAGCTCTTTTCATTTTAAGGCAGTTTTTTTGTTTCTGGTACTTTCACGCGGTACTACTATTGTACTTTCGTCTGTTTTTTTTGTCGGCTTAGTTCCCATGGCCAGGTTTTTTGAAGAATCAGATTTTCTCTGAGTTGCTTCAACACCCATGCTGGATGAAAAATACCGGGCGTTCGTTTTCAGTCGGGATTTGCCTTTTTACAAACTGTAAATTTTCTGCTATTTTAGATTTTTGTCTTCGTTTATTTTTTCCGGCTTATTTCGTGCAGAACGAATTTTTTTAAAATTCGACTTCCTTCTAGCTTTCCGAAAGCTCCTTGTAAAATAAAGGTGCATGTATTTTTGTTCGGGATCTTTTGGGCTGTTTTGACAATTTTTTCAATTTATTCCAAAACAATTTTGGAAGGTTTTTTCTATTTCCGATTTTCCTTTCCATTTGATTTTAATCACAATTATTCATTTTTGTATCACAAGTGGTGCGAAGCTGAGCTTCGTTTCTGTGTGAGAATATGTTGTGAAATTGTCAGATTGTGTTTCGGGTCATAGTCAAAGATTTTTGCATCGCAAGTGGTTTGTATTTTTCTATTTGAAATACTTAAATCAATTGGATTTAGTGATAGCTAGATTATCCTAAGCAAAAAAGGATTAAACATTTTTTAAGCAAAGATAATTAATTTCATTCAATTATGTAAATTTCATTCAATTGTGTATTGCGTCAACGAAATTTTTTTATTCAATCTCCGTGGGCCAGCTCTGACGCTTTGTGGTACGTCGAAGTTCAACCGACACATTCTCATGTTCTTTAATTAATGATTATTTCCCTAAGCGTGCAATAAGAATTCATTCTAAACTACCCAATAATTCGCCGATATGTGATGCAAGACTTCGTGTCCTCATGTTATATCTAATGAGTTTAAGAGTAACTAACCGATTAAGGTTTCAAATATCATCATGTTATTTTTTGCGAGGCTTTTGAATGTTGAAACCAATTTTTGCCCGATGATTGTTTCCAGTTGATTTCACTTGGCGTATTGGGAGTTGCAAGTGTTGTTTGTTCGGAACATTGACTTCCTTTTCGTTGTAAACAACCAACAGAATAGCACGCTGATTCCTTTTGAATTTACTCTGCGCTGAAACTAACAGCATCAAATAAAACAGATAGACTTGTTTTTTTCTGTGCAGTTGATTTTTCTCGCAAGTTGTCGGAATAAGTATCATCACATTTGGACGGGAATTAAACGTGAAAAACACTTGTAAGAGCAAGCGTCTTGTAATCGAGAACTAGACTTTTTTCCTTAAACAACTTTTTTTACAGGTAAGAGTATCAACTAAGAAATTGTAAAGTTAGCGATTCGTTTGAGACTCCTTCCCACTTGGCCTAAAGGTAACGCGCTTGCCGTTGAAAATCTGGGTTTCGAGTACCGGTCGGACCTTAATTTTTTCAGTATTTATGAGATTGAAATTTTTTCACGGAAAAATTGATTCGCCGTACTTCCGTTTGTCTGCTTATATTTAGTTGGCTTTGTTGCCAAATTGGGGAATCGTTTTGTGCTGTCAGCATTTTTTTTATCGCAGATGCAAGTATTTCTGTAGTTCGTGAAATTAATAGCACTGACATTGTATATTGTCCTTGGTTTTCTTTTGTTTTTTTTTGCTTAAAAGCTTCATTCGTTCTTAATTATTTTCCGTTTATCTTTTTTGGCCGAGTTAATTTATTTTGTGTCGCTTCAGAAGCAAAAAATAATTGATTTTTTTTACACAAGCATAGCTTGTTATAATATGAATTTTCTTTTTTTTCCAACCTAAGTCGCAAATATTGTTGCGATGCAATTATTGCGACAAAATTTGTTCGTTTTGAAAGTGTTCATTTTGATCCAGCTATTAAGTACAGCCAATGCTAAGGATGTTAACACAGACTATTATATTACAAATAGCACTTTAGCTTCAGGGCATCGTGGATCTGTAGCGTAGAGGTAGGGAAGTAGACCAACAGTAAAATAAGAGGGTTTGAACCTGGGCAGGGTCGGATGTTTTTATTGAACTTTTTTGTATACTAGTTAAAATTCGTTCGCTCTATAAATTGAGGCATTTTAGTTGGGAATTTTCTTTTTTTTCAAATTGACTGGTACTCCTAATGCTTCATAATTGGCTTGCGTCACTTAGCAATTATGTAGGCTCATAATTGGCGTGCGTCACTTGAGAAATTTTGTAGACTCAAAGATTTACTCATTCATTTTTTTGCCAGTAGCGTTTTCGTGCATATATTTGCCTGTGAATGCGGAGTGCAACTTCGCCTCTGTGTTGAAAAATTTAGTTAGTTTGTTTCCGGCTCAATGAGCGTCTAGACTCTTGTTGTCGCCTCTGTGATTTTTTTTCGGTTTTGTAATTTCTATCTCATTTACTAATCGCAAGCTTGCTATGCTGCGCTTATTTTGTAGCAAAATTGATGCGATGCTTCACTTCGTCTCTGTGTTAATAAGGTATTTTTCAGTTCATTTTTTCAACCAAAGGGTTTTGCCGAGATTTAGTCAAATCAACCTTTTTACACTTGCGTCCTTGTCAAGAGAGGAGTGTGTTACTTATCATGCTCATTTTTGGCTGTTTGTATTATTATCAATTTTCATCGTCCTAAATTGTTCTGTTTCATTTGTTTTTTTGATGTCAGATTTTTGGTGGGTTTGACTGTTTGTAGTTTCAAAGCTTAATGCATTGCCTAGTTGTCTTGCAAAGCTTGTGAAATAATACGAGTCCAGTTTTTTTTCTAAAAACTGGCAGACATAATTTTGTTCTGCCTCAATTTTCTGTGTTGAAATTATGAATACAAGGCTCTAGTTGGCTATTCGAAATTGCAGTTACAAAAGCCGATTTTGATTAAAATCTGGAGGCTAGGGGTTTGAATTTAGAGAAGACCTGTGGCTTCGATTGACGGAGGTAGCAACGTTCCTTGGACTAGGTGAGAGAATGTTGGGCGTGTCCCAAATCACAGACTAAACACAACAAACAACAATCCAGTAAAGATGTTTCTTGGACTGATTGATTTTCACGCTGTTAATGATGTTTTGACTGATTGACTTTTCTTTTGATACCCAATCGATCACAGACATAACTATATCAAAGTGAGCCCCTTACGTAGCCCAACAAACTTTAAGAAGGGTATATTCTCCAAAACATTGTATAAATTAATTTATTCTTGCTTGATAGAAAAAAAAGGCGTTTTTACTATATAAAATACCAGCTTTTTATTTAAAAACAATTTTTAAACGGTTTGCAGTTTTTTTGGAGAATATACCCTTCTTAAAGTTTGTTGGGCTACGTCAGGGGCTCACTTTGATATAATTATGTTTGTGATCGATTGGGTATTTTAGGCGTAATTTTTGATTAACTAAGAAAAGCCAAAATAACCCTTTTTTGTGGTAAAATTTTGGGCCCGAATTTCGCAAAACAAATTACACCATATTAATTCTGCTAAAATTTTAAGCAAGTTTTGTCTTCATAAGCTTTCACTTAAACTCAACCCAATTTGAGAAAAACGCGTTTTTCTGTTTTTCCGCTCTTGAACCCATTCTGCTCTTTGATCATTCTGCTCATTGACTGGCCACCGCCAGATTTATAGCTTCAAAAATGATAATAATATCTAGATTTCCAAGCAGATCAAGACAATTACCATTTAATGCATTTTCTCAAATAGGATTAGTCTTAACGCAATTTTTCAATTATGAAAGATTGTTGCATTTAAAGAGCTCAAGGGGATTGTTGTTCCGACTTTCGATACTAAAGTAACGGAATATTTGTGCTCGGGGTGGGTTTTTTTTTCTTCAGACAAATTTCGACTTTTTAACTAGCCGTTTTTGACGGAATTTTTTTTATCATTTGAAAGGTATTGTTGTCCTGAGCTTAAATTTGAAAAGATATTTCACCTGTGATCATTTTTTGTAAAGTTATGGGGGTTTAAAGATTGCCATTTTGGCCAATTTGGGACAATTAACGCGCGATATATTTCGCGCTATTAACGCGTAAGCGAGATTTAATCCGTCTAAGAAATTGTTCCAAATTGGTTTAACGAAGCATATTTGCCATAATTATTTGTCACAAGTAGCGAAATCTATCCTCTTGTACTATATGGCGTGTGGGGGATGACTTTCATAAAAAATTTCAAATTTTGGAAAAAAAAAATTCATTTTGATTTATTTAAAAAAAAAATTTAATGTTATTACTGCTCCATAAAACTTAAAAGGCAGTCGGAACATTCAGGGCATCGCCCTGAAACGAGCAGTCTTGTTTTCTTTATTGCTACTTTTTTGTGTGCCTTAACGTTTTTAATTGTCTACGGTTTAATTTGCAATTAGGTCAAGCTTGCTTTACATCGAAGTTTTTCCCCGTCAGATTTTGTAACTGCATTCGGTTGACGGAAGCTCGTAGCTCAAGTCTTTGTCAGGACTTGTGGCAAAAATAGGTAATTTTATTGGATTTTCAACTGTTTTTTTTTTCTAGTCAATGAGCTATAGGAATCAGTTGACAATACCAAATTATTAGATCGAAAGTACAGCGATTGGATTGTAGACTCTTTCAGACCTGTTTTTTACTGACAAATTATTTGCATTTTATTAGGGATCTTTAATAGCCTGAGAAAGAGCTTTCCATGAATTTGGAATATAGTTACGTGAAAGAGTTTGAAAAAAATACTACGAGCTTTTTTTTAAGTAGTCAAATGGGGCGAAAACGACACGCCCGGGTCGGAAAAATGAAATAAATTTAAATCTTCACGAAAGTTTTGAAGTCAAAAATACATTTTCTAAATATAAAACAAATACATAAGCTAGAAATCAGAATCCACTAAGTTGTAATATTTGAAGTTGTTCAGATTCTGCATTTTCAGCTTGAGTGACCAAGTATGCCATTAGTTCATGCGTCATATTCGCGGATGGTATAAATATGTGGCTGACGTAAAAACACTTGCCGTAGAAACCTGGATAACAGATATTTCTCTTCGAAAAATTTCATTTGGAGATAAGATTTCAATATTAATACTCCTTAGCTGGTCGTGTTTTACTCACTGATTTTTCACAGATTGTTTTTTTTGCAGCCCACCATTTTTCTGAATTGAGATTTTATAATTTCTTAAGGTATACATTTTAAAAGGTATTTGTAAAGTTGAAATGGACGCTCGGTTGCCATGGTTAAGATATCTAATAACCAAGTCTAAAAATATGTTTCATTTGTCGATTTATCTTTCGTGACCAGACATTTCCACCTCAGACATTTCCGCCCCAAAAACCCAGTCATCTCCGCCCCAAACGCAGTCACTTCTGGAAATGACTGGAGCGAAGGTGACTGGGGCGGAAATGACTGGTAGCCCTATCTTTCTATATAGTACACGATTGACCTGTTTTTTCGTACTCAAAAAGCGCAGTGATTAGATGCAACTATCGAGGACACGATCATCTTGTTTCAACGCAAAGCTAGACATAATCTGTTAGTTTTTGTCTGAAAGGTTTCGTTAACATTCTCATTTCTGTGACTAGTGAACGAAAAATAACGAAATTCCTGTTAAGTAATAAAATAGCCAACAAGACTGCTCGTAACAGGGCGACGCCCTGAATGTTCCTACTGCCTATTAAGTTTATGGAGCAGTATTAACATTAAAATTTTTTTTTTAAATAAAACAAAATGAAACTTTTTTTTCCAAAATTTGAAATTTTTTATGAAAGTCATCCCCCCACACGCCATATAGTACAAAAGGATAGATTTCGCGCTAAAGCGTTAAAAGCGATATCGCGCGTTAATTGTCCCAAATTGGCCAAAATGGCAACCTTGAAACCCCCATAATTTTAGGAAATAATCGCAAGTAATGCTGTTTTGTCTAAGTGATAGTCTAAGCTGTTTTGAAGTTTGAGTTTCAATTTGAAGGCCAAAAGATTAGCAAGGTCATTTATGTTCGAATTTTTGCTGTTCCTTTGATCGGCCAAAATGGCATCTTTAAACCCCCATAAATTTACGAAAAATGATCACAGGTGAAATATCTTTTCAAATTTAAGCTCAGGACAACAATACCTTTCGAATGATATTTTAAAAATCCCGTGAAAAATGACTAGTTAAAAAGTCGTAATTTGTCTGAAGAAAAAAAAACCCACCCCGAGCACAAATATTCCGTTACTTTCGTATCGAAAGTCGGAACAAAAATAGCTTGATAGCTTTGCAATTTTGCCAAACGAGATATTCGAATCAGGTAGGGGATAGGCAGAAACAAGACTGCTCGTATCAGGGCCAAACCCTGAATGTTCCGACTGCCGTTTGAGGTTTCATGAGCAGTAATAACAAAAAATAAATTAAACAACAAAATAAAATGAAATTTTTTTCTAAAATTTGAATTTTTTTTAAAATCATCCCCCCACACGCCATATGAAGTACAAAAAGATCGATTTCGCTCCTATTTTTATATCAATTATGGCATGTAAGCTTTTTTGAACCAATTTGGAACGATTTCTAAGGCGGATTAAATCTCCGCTTACGCGTTAATAGCGCGAAATATATCGCGCGTTAATTGTTCCAAATTGGCCAAAATGGCAATCTTTAAACCCCCATAACTTTGCGAAAATGGTCACAGGTGAAATATCTTTTCAAATTTAAGCTGAGGACAACAATAGCTTTCGAATGATATTTTAAAAATCCGTCAAAAATGGCTAGTTAAAAAGTCGAAATTTGTCTGAAGAAAAAAAACTCCACCCGAGCACAAATATTCCGTTACTTTCGTATCGAAAGTCGGAACAATAAAGTGCTGCGCGCTTTGCGGTAAATTTTTATTCTCAGCAAGCTTAAATAAATTTACCGCAAAGCGCGCGTGGGTTCGCAAAAAAAATGAATCGCAAAAAGCCAGCCCATATACAGTGGTGTCCAATATAACCTTTTGTTTAACAACTGGCTTAACCAAATGGTCAAAAAAAAGGTTTGTTAAGCTGATTTAACCAATAACAAATTGGTTCAAATCAATTTTGTTTAAAACTGGCTGTATTTAACCAAAAAAAAAATAACTTTCAATACTCGTTTTGAAAAAGAGAATACGCTCAGCTTTGATTTAATTGCCGTAATTATCAAGCGCATTGTGTTTCAGTCACTATGTCTGTCACTAATTTGAATCGTTCACACTCAACTAACAGCCTACTTGCTTCTTGTTTGCGTATTATCGATGGGATGCGAAATAACTTTGAAACGTAACGCTGTCGGGGAGAAATTATTTAAGTTGTAGTATTGCAAATACTGCACTGACTTATGGCTTAACTTAATTTTCAAACATTTTAAATATCCCTCCGATTTAAATAACTCTTTCGAGTTTGGGTTCACTTTTTCTGTTTCTTTTGGCCTGGATATTCAAAACAAGTATGTCGCCAGTTTGCTCAGAATAACTCTTTTTTGTGAACCGATTTATGAAGTGGAAAATGTGAAAAAGTTTAATCGCAATGAGATTGCTTAGAAAAGTTGAATTTCCGCTAATCGATACTTGCCATGAAGTATCTTGAAATAGTTCGAAGTTTTGTCACCTGTCGAGGCTACTTAAAAATTAACTTTATTGCGACCTGATTCGGGCTTTGAAATAACTTGAAATATTTCAATAATTTATAATTTGTATACATATATTTATCAGTCATTTCAAGATCGATACCGAGCAAAACTATAGATCTTGTGAACTTCCATTTAAAAACCGCACCTAGTTTTGATGAATAAACGTGAAAAATGAAAGCGCAAACCGAACATTAGATTGAAAATAGAGTATTAATTAAATTTTGCGAATAGCTTTTGTGAAGATCATATCTATTGCTGATATCATAGTCCAGAATTTAGTGCTATAAGTTAACTCAGCGCACCATCTGGGTTCTTTTGATCTGCTTCCGTAGACAGTATGATGCCGACGCCCTCCATATCGCCATTAACAGCCACTTTCGTTTCCTTTTCGAACAGTTTTCGTTCATTTTCAAGAGCCTCTCTATCTTTCTTGCACAATTCACGGTAACTGCGACTGAACTTGATAGTGATCACGTGGGCTATTAGGAGTGGAAGGGCCACGAAGTTCATAGTAAGCGCCATGAAGATAGGCAGGATCCCGTTGAGGTCGGCGTGGGGCTGCTCAAAGGCAAGCAGAGACATTCCCACTACTATGCCTGCGTTCTGCATGCCTGAAATCAAAAATATAAGTAAGCAGAAAAAATACACGCCTGGTTTATGTATATGCACAGCCACGTTCCTCTGCAAAATCTGAATTGCTCTTGGATAACCCTTATTGTAATATGATTTCCTTATTATCTTATTGTTAAGCTTACTGTTCTGTTTACAGGTCGCTCATAATTTTTTGATAATTTGGAAACTATATGTTTTTTGCAATTTTTGAGGATGCGTGAAGCTTCATTGTCCTGAATACCTGGTGCTGGTAATTATTTTTGGAGTTTCTAAATTCCAAAAGTTTTCTTTACACTCGGTGGCGCTTTGTGGTACATACCCACTTCTAGAGCAATCGTCTTGACCTTGGAGAACCTCAGCTGTGCACTGAGAGGTAGCAGAGTCCCAATGATGAATCCTCCACAGGGAAGAAGACAGGATCCGGCGACGTCGCGTACACTGACCAGTGCAAATGCAAACAGGTTGCGGAATATGGCTAAAATTTGTCTGAATTGTGAGGTGTTTTTTCGATTTTCATGGGTTCTAATGTGGTGACTTGGAAGTTTTCAGGTTATATTTCTGTCCTATTAATCACAGTTTTCCTTAATCATGATAGAAGGATGCGGTGAATTTAAAAGAAAACCAAATCAATTAGATAGTTTATACCGGACAATCAATTAACTCATTATGTTTTTATCTAAGAGTGGCCCATATAGATTGAGGTTCTTGAATAGCAGAAACCTGGTAACTCATTTTGTGTGACTGACCTAGACAGAAAAAGACGAGTAACATAATACTGATCAGTGGCTTCGCGATCTTCATCATTTTGCGGGTGAAGTTCGGACAGTAGCTGCGAAGCAACATGCCAATGCACACGGGCACTGCCAGTAGAAGCAGAGTGCCCCCCAGTCTGTGGTAGGGAATGTCCTGTGCTGTCCAGGAGGGGTCGTCTGAGATGAAGCGGCCGTAGATGAACAGGTTCAGTGGCATGGTGCCTAGAAAAATAGGAGGATTATAAAATGATCGCTGTTTTTTTATGCTCGTTCTTTCTTCTTGCACCTATGAAATAGCAACAAACCTTGGATTCCCACGCTTATCGCCTTGCAAAGTTAGTTAACCTAGTAAATAGCTTGTGGGGCCGAAAGAGCTGTCATACTAAAACTTTCTCAATCGTAATTCAAAGTGCATGGATCCCCACCCCCTATTTTAAATGTCTCGCCTCTTAGACAAAATGGATGTGGGATTGAATGACTGGCAATAAAATACGCAATTTCAATTTAAGCAAGGCAATAATTTTGTTCTCAAATTCCAAATCTTGACTCTTTTCCTTCCACCTTTAAGACTATCTGATTACCGATTATCTTATTTGCAGTTAAAACTGTATTTTGAACGTTTTATGCTATATGCACAGCTGCACATGCTCTTATAACTGTATTTAGATCGCTGTACTTAAATATGAACATATTATCTGAATAGTTGAATGATTTCAACTTAGCAATAGTCAACTATTTACCATGACCCGAACGCGTCTTACGTTAATGAGAGAACGCCTTAAAATGCTCATTTTGACTTCTTCCCCTGATTAAGCTTTGTTGCGCAGGCAACCCAATGCAAGGAGTACCTTGTGCCTGATTTCTGCTTACTTTTCAAAACTTTTATGCGGTTTTAAACCAGAGTTGAGTTATTTTGCAGATTTTCAACAATGTAGATTGATATATAAACTGACTCGTACAATGTTGCGATTAAACATGTGAGAAATTTCATTTGTCGAGTTAAGACTCGTATAGTTCAGGCTCTTGTATACGTCGCAATAATTTTTTTCAGGAACAGTTGAGCTCAAATTTCCTTTTGCGCGGTTTGACTTTTAATTTCTTTGTTAAAAGAAAAGTGAACTCCACCATCGAACAGCAAAAGTGTAAAGATCTCGAAAAAGAAGTTTTTCAAATCTAAGCTGGCCTGAAAATTTTTTTAAGCTATAGCCAATGTCTACAAAATCGATACTATATGCGCTCTTATGTTTACACAAGCATAGCTTGTGTTATAGTATGAACTTTCTTTTTTTCCAACCTAAGTCGCAATTTTTTTTTTCGATTCAATTATTGCTACAAAATGTGTTCGTTTTGAAAGTGTTCATTTTGATTCAGCTATTAAGTACAGCCAATGCTAAGGATATTAACACAGACTATTTTATTACAAATAGCATTTTAGCTTCAGGGCATCGTGGATCTGTAGCGTAGAGGCAGGGAAAGAGATCAGCAGTAAAATAAGAGGGTTCGAACCTGGTCAGTGTCGGATGTTTTTAATGAACTTTTTTGTAAACTAGTTAAAATTTGTTCGCTCTATAAATTGAGGCATGTTAGTTGGTAAATTTTTTTTCAAGTTGACTGGTACTGCTAATGCGTCATAATTGGATTGGCTTGCGTTACTTAGCAATTATGTAGACTTATATTTGGCGTGCGTCGTTTTTGAAATTTGGTAGACTCATTCAGTTTTTCCCTGTAGCGTTATCGGTCATACTTTGGCTTGTGTATGCAATAATCGTTGTCAATTTTTGCCTGAATTGCAATGCAATGAGATAGCCAATGACTAGGCTTACCAGCGAAAAGTTTTCGATACTATGTATTTCAAGGACGAAGCAAAATGAACCAGATTCAGCGATTGTTTTGGACTTTTTTGAGTGCTACCCTAAATGGGCTCCCAGACTGTCTGGCGCCGTAGACGCAGCAGCTTGTGTCACGCAACACGGCTTCCCCTTCTCCGTCATCGTTATACCTAATCCCTTTGACGGCTGAATTGATTTTGGCAGAACTGAACGACGTTGCATGACGCGATTTAGTCGAATAGTTTTGATGTACATGTACGTCGTAACCAAGAGAATTGATACGAAGATACTTTTGTGAACTGTGGTTCTTCATGTGGAGGTTTTCCAGGCCCCATGAGTCATTCTCACTGTGGATGGAAACCAAGTAACTGGTTGTCAAAATTCTTTTTTACGCAAACCATGAAGTTAAACATCTGAACGTGGAAGCTGCCTGTCATTTGTTTGCTTTAATCATGGTTTGTATCTCTAGTCATGGTCAAATGAACTCTCGATTCAGAAAAAAAACGTAGGCGAAAAATGAACAAGGGGTGGGGGGAGAGGTTTGTCCGACCCCTTCTGTATTTCAGATGAAATAAATTCACTTCTTTTCAGCGCAGATGAAAGCCATGCCAAACATCGAGCATATGATTTACTTGAAGATTAAAACCGATATATTTTGTCTTTAAACTTGCGATAGCAAGTGTTTTGCAACCGGGTACTAGACTTTTTCCCGTAAATAACTTCTTTCACTGGACTCATTTCCTGGAAGGCTCTGTTGGCAAGAAATTTACCGCAACAGACATATTTGTGCATATTAGCATTTGAAATATTTATCCTCAGAGGCGGATCTAGGGTTTTCTCGATGGGGGAGGCGCGGTTTTTCAAGAAAATGTTCGAAAATTTTGTCAATTTTTTTTAGGACGACCACCAAATTGATTTTCAGAACACTATAAAGACCCTATTTTGACTAAAAATTTGGCGCTGCAGGTAAGTTTGTGACAAAACAGGTCAGGAAAGCCGTTTTTGGGCACTTTTTGGAAAAATTTTGACTAAAAAATTGCCTTTATTAGGCGTTTTTGGGTTTTTTTTTTGAAAAAATAGCCTTTACCTCTGTGGGTAAACTTAACGCAGAGTGAAAAGTTTTCGAGTTGAAAAACCGCTGGTAGCTTGGCTTATCATCATTTCAAATTTCATGTCTCATTCTGAGCATTTGGCACCGAGGTAAATTCCATTTATAGAATGACCACGGTAGTGAGTTCGATTTCGGTCAGCACAGTCAGGGGCGGATCTAGAATTTTATCGAGTGGGGGCGGGTTTACAAAAGATGTCAAAACTTTTGTCGACCTTTTTTATTTCGACCATATTGATTTTTTGAGCTCTCTCAAATCACTATAAAGACCCCATTTTGACCAAATTTTTGCGCCGCAAGCAAACTTTTGAAAAAAGCAGGCCATTAAAGGCGCTATTAGGCCATTCTTAGAAGATGTTGACCAAAAAATTGCGTTTTTTCGTCACTAGCTCTCCCCTCAAAATTACATTACGAGGCCAAACTGTGCACTGGATAGGCGCACAATTTTGTATCTGTATGTTCCTGGATTCCAAAAACTAATCTTTAAATATGTTCCAAAATGTAAGTGGATTCCACTTACAAAACTTCGTGGATTCCGCGTACATATGAGTGTAACGTAAATTTTGTCGGCAAATGTGAGCGGATTCCGCAAACTGTAAGTGGAATCCGAATTTTGTTACATACTGAACTTATATGAACAGTTAAGTCTAGTGAAATCAAATCATGTAATTAAAAGATATAATTTTAAACGCTACTACACATATACATAGATGTAAACGGAATCCGCAAACAAAATGCGGATTCCACTTACAATTTGCGGATTCCACTTACACTTTGCGGATTCCGCTTACAGTTGCGGATTCCGCAACAGCTCAATTTAACTATACACATGTCTTATTGCTTGTTTGTGGACTCCACAAACTGTTTTGGATTCCGAAAACACGGTTGCGGATTCCGCAAATTCGTCTATTTTTGGAGCGATTTTGAGCCGAACAGTATTTGTTCGTGGAATCCATAACAGCAAAGAAGATCAAAGAAAAGCAGCAATGATGTGGATTCCGCGTCAAATCTGATTCTGGCCTGTTGTGGAATCCGCATACAATGCACAGAATGCAGAGTTTGGCCTCGTAATGTAGTATATTTTGGCGCCGAAGGCTCCTTTATAAAAGTTTTGGGTAGGCTGGGGGTCGAATCCCTGAGAAGAGGGGCGAAAAAACGCCTAAAAGTGCCTAAAAACGCTTTTGCTTGTCATTTTTTCAAAAATTCACCCGCGGCGAAGAAAATCTGGCCAAAAGGGGTCATTATAGTGATTTGGGTAAGCTCCGGAAATCAATGTGGTTGACCTCAAAAAAGTTGACAAAATTTTTGAATTCAATTTGAACATGCGCCATCAGTTTTCATCATCACGGAATCCTGAGCTGTTTTAGATGTAAACTGTTTAAGAGTGCGTTTTTTAATGAGGTCGCTGACCTATAGCGAGAAGAGTGCTGAAGAACGTCATGGCGATGGAGAGGGGCACTTCTCCGTCCACCAAGTAGCTGAAGGCGTTGCTCTGGGCCCCACCTGGAGCACATGCCACCATCAACATACCCAGAGCCACATCCACGTCATAGCCCATCCACTTGGCCACCCCTAGACCCATCTGAAGTGTACACAAATTTGTTAGAATATATCCCAAGGGAGAGTCATTTGGTTAGAGTAACAAAATCAAATTTCTGCAGATTTTTAACTTCTTTTTATTAGTTGGCTACAAGGGGCCAATCAATGAGTATCTGTAGTTGTGTTATTGCTAGTGTATCATCAAATCATAGTAGCGTAAATTATGACATGAAGTTAATTTGTGAGCAGCTCAGTTGAATGTGGAATTGAACATGTACTAACAGGTGGTAGTATGATGAACTGGCAGACAGCTGCAGTGAATAGAGGCAGGGGGTTTCTGAGGATGAACTTGAGGTCATTCAGGGCTATCTCTGTGCCGAATGCGAGGTTGAATATGGCCACCATGAGGAACACGTAGGGCAGGAAGAACATGTCTATTTTAGTCTCGGCTCTCAATACCCACACATCCAACTCAGCTACTCCTTCTGCGTCGTCTCCTTTCACATCTGATCCCCTCTCATACCCACATGATACTTCGGCGACGCCTGTAACAAATCCAAGAGCAACTAACATGAGCACATCTCAATTAGCTGAATCGGAAGTGCAATTGGAAGTGCTGCCAATGATTGTTTGTCAGCCAATGATGAATTGTTCTACACATTTTTCCCCCAGCACCTTATCGTACTTTTCTTCCCACAAATTTGGATATGGGATGATAGGGTGTTGGATATGGGACGAAATCTGTTAATTAAATAAATAGGACGAAATCTGTAGTAGGACGAAATCTGTGCCAATCCTTTTATGCGCCAGGAACTGAAGGATGGTCTTAATCTAATAGGGGGAAAAATTATATGAAACAATATTCCAAACGGCATCTTTCAGGGCATAATTTAATGCCATTTAATCGATCGCTCTTAGATTTGATTTAGTAAAAATACACTGAAACTAATTACCCAGCCTACGTGCGAGAAATTTGAAAGTGGCATTGTTCCCAGCCTGCGAAATCTTTTCCAGGGATATTACTTCTCTTTTGTTTGTTTCACACACTACATCTTCTACCAGGGCCTGAAAAGAAGAGACCGAGAACTGATACACTTCGTCTTCGTATATCTTAATTGGCTGATCTTCCTCGGTGTTGCTTTTTATTTCGAGTTTAACATTGGTGCCGTTGATGGTACCAATTAGTGCCCAAAGGATCAGAAGCTGAGAAGCTTGATAGATATGGTGTGTTCGTTGATTCGAAGTGCTAAACATTGCAATTTTCTGTTAACCTTTTATGAAACAAAAAAAAATTCAAATGGTATTAATCCAGATATTTTTGAAGATATGGTTTGTTAGTCAAGTTTACCAACATATGGTTTCATCAGCTTCATGGTTGGAAGGATATGTCTCTGATATGAATGAGTAATTCTTCGCTCGGCCGATCATCAGAGAAGATTTCACGTTTCGTTGAAACAACTTACCAGCGAATTGCCATGTGGGGCTATTTGACCGAAAGTTACCACCAACAGATTGGAAAACTCGTTTGAAGTGACTCGAAAAAAAACTAGAACGCAGTCCTTGAATAGGAGTAATTTTAGATCGAACAAACAATATCGAAATTAACCCCTTTTTGGATTGAGAATTACGGTCAAACTCCATAAAGCAATTTGAACCTAATTGATGTGAACTTTCAAGTGGCTCTTTGGTTTAGGACCTTATTCATTATTTGCACTTTCAAAATAAAAGTCTTATTATTGCCATTTTCATTGAAGCTATATACCAAAAAAAAAAACCCAGAGCAACGTTCTTTTTTTTCTGAGCTTGAAGTTTGCGTTATTGGAGAGCCCAACAAGAAGATTACTAGGTGATGATTCATCATCATAATGAGTTGATCAATTTAAGACGAAGCTGTAATAACATCATATTCTTTTAATAACCGTTTCCGTTTCTTTATCTCAAGTTTTACAAGAAATGCTACATTAAACATAAAATAGTCGTATCATGCAAACTAATTTATTCTGTTTTCATATTGTGAGTTTGTTCAGAAAACTGAAGTAACAAATTTTTTTTCAGGTTTTCTTCACGAAAATTAGATGAAATAACACATAATTCATGCATTGTTTTTCAAACGGCTGAAAAATTTGAACAAAAATAAACGTGTTTTTTGTCCGGGATTTTTGATGATGGCAATGAGCTCGAAGTCGCCCGTTAGCAAAGTCAGTATGCCCAAAAATGTGAGCCAAACTTTTACAAACGAAGAAATTCGGAGGCTACAAATGCGGTTTAAAAAACTGGACAAGGATAATGATGGGAAGCTGTCAATCAAGGAGCTGATGTCGTTGCCCAATATCACCAACAATCCCCTCATGTACAGGATTGTGGACATTTTGGACACTGACGGGGACGGGGAGTTGGACTTCGAGGAGTTCATTCAAGGCCTATCTCAATTCAGTGTCAAAGGTGAAAACATTTTTGTGCTGATAGAAAAATTGTTTGAAGGGTTTGCCTCAATTCAATTGCATGCATGAGGCACTGTTTTAATGATTCCTATTGAAAGAGCAACATCGAGAGGAATTGTTCTAACGTTTTTTTGATATAACATTACGCTTAAATGCTTATTTTTAATGACCATTTTTGACAGAAATTACACTGCGAGACATTGAAAACGCATCCTCGAGCTTTTTGCTAAATATAAATGAGTTTAAAAACTGTTAAATCGTACAAACTAACGCTTTTGAAGCAAATTTGATAATCTTTCAGCCACTTTTTTTTACGTTTGTGTCTTTTCTTTTGGAGTTTCCTAGTAAGCTTGAAAAATAGTTATGCCTTAAATTTATCAGGGTTTTACATTTATGATCCAAAAAAGGCATTATTTTTTGCTTATACTTCAGTTTTTATTAGTTTATTGACCTTAAAAGGCAAGTTTTTTCCAGAACTGTGAATGAATAAGGGCACGAAAGCTATTTCCATGAAATGAATTAGGTAAAGCATAGCCCATTTTGTAAATTAATTTGAAAAGTTGTCAATTTCTCTTGCTATTTATCAGAGCAAGCATATGGATTTTGTTAAATCAAAAAAGTTTTACCTTGAATGTTTTGTTGGCTCATTAAAGTTCGGCTCTGCTAATGTGTTTTCAATTTCGCCCAAGACACTTGTGGACAAAATTAAACGAAAGCGAACTTTCTTTCAAAAGTTTTCAAATTGTAAGCATAATTTGGGTACTAATTGCGGGTAGGGTTTTCGAACTAGTGTCTATAAGTATCAATTTGAACTGGCATTGAAGCAATTCAAGTTAAATTGAGCTTTGAGAAACTTTCAACCATAGATTTTGGAGAACCAATTTTAGTCAACATTTTTTTTGGAAATGTCGGTCGAATTAATTTTCATCTGTTTTTTTTTTCATCTGGTCCCAGAGAAATGCTCTACAGTCGACAAATCCTGCCTGTGATTTCGGAGGGTAAGGAGAAATTTTAACTCGTTTGTTTTGTAAGTATTGTCCGGCAGCATGAAGATTTGCATTATTGTGTCGATAAATCCAAGTTTCGTGTAAAAGTCGCTTAAATGGTCATACTTCGTGTTTCAAACCTTCATTTAGGTACTTTTCACGGTTTATTTTTCTTTCAATGAAAATTAAAGTTTTCGAAAATTTGCAATGATACCAGCCCATACCATAATTCCGATTGTTTTCCAGCTATCTATACTAGAGGAACAACAAGAGCAAGCGACTTTTTGTAAAATTTACGTATAAATAGCTTACATAATTAATAATAATTTTATTTTAATAAAGGTTTGCTTAATAATAGCGGGTAGGTTGTCCAAATGTTTTTCTGCCAGCATAATTTCGACTTGGCACTACCAATTATAATTTTCATCGATATTGGAGGAAATGTCAACCATAGATTTTGGAGTGCCCATTTTAGTTCAATATTGTTTGGAATCAGTCCATTTGCTTGGAGTTTTTTTTTCATTTAGTCCCACATGCTCCATAGGGTATAAATTTGGCGAATCAGGAGTACAGGGAAGCAATTTTACTCGTTCTTCTTCGCAAGTATTGTTCGCCTGGTCCGGCAGTATGGGGAAGTGCTTTATCTTGTTGAATAAAATTATCGATGTAATATCGCCTAGCACTACACTAGTGGACAAAATTGCGCAAATTTAGGTTTTTATTCTCTAAACTGCCTTTATGTCCATTTTTGTTAGCATTTCCTTCGGTTTTCAGCAAAATTTATAGATAGACAAGAGAAACAGATCAGGTTTATCCTCTATAAAATTATGATTTTTTTTGTATTAAAGGCTTAACCAAAACAATCGGGGTCTGAAAGTGCCAGATTTCCTCATCTGCACTAAGTTTTGCATCGTAGTGAACTCTTTCTCGAATAAGAGCAAAAAAAAATTGTTCATGCGACGTGAAACATTTTCAACGAGAAAATTGAAATAATCAGTGTGAAAGTTTTACTAAACCCGGCTGTTACTTACTTTGTCACGCGGATTGAAAAATTGGCGTAGATGAGGAAATCTGGCGTTTCAGACCCGGATTAAACTGGTAAGTCTACGAAAGAATCTGAAAATTTTACATAGATTAAGAGAAAATGATCAAAGCTAAACTCTATGAAAGAATCAATATACGCTTTGATCATTTGCTCTTAGTCTATGTAAAATTTTTACTAGAAATCGAATTAAATGTTGTCCAAAATGGACATTAAAAAAGGCTTTTTAGAGATTTTGTCCACTGGTGAACTCATCTGAAATCATCATTTACGTAGTATTCGTTGTTCAGGTTCTCTTCGATCAGTTATTAGTGAAACTAGCCCATTCCATAATTCCGTTTTATTTTCAGTGATCTATTTGCATTGCGCTGTTTTTTTTAGTATCGGGTTAGACAATTTTTTCGTTCGACTATCAATTCCATGCAGAAACAATTGACTGTCATTGCTGTAAGGAATCTCATTCCATTGTCTATTCTAGCGCAAAGTACTGGTGGCGAAAATTTCCAAAGTTTATTTTGACATTATTTGTTTTTTGGAGGTCTACAACAACCGTGTTTTCGTAATTTCTGGGCCAGATTTTTGGCTTCGTCCCTTGAAATTCCCTTTTTGGCCGCTGTCAACAATGAGTGTACGGAGAAATCAAAGTAATTTTGGTGGTTGTTTCATGACGCTTCCTTGCCAATTTTTTTTTGGCACTGTTCGTTTTTGGCATAGAAAAACTCGCGAACGTCTTCAAATGTAACCCCACATTCAATTGCTCCAATCTTTTAGTTTTATTAAGCCAAATAATTCAGCGAACCGTTTTCTATAGAATTTTCAAACTGAACTATTAAGTCCTGTTCAGAAAACATGCAATACATGACCATAATATTATTTCCGCTCTAAGTTTGAAATATAATTAAACACTCAAACTTGCGCGTAGTTTTGTCCACATGTGTAGTCAGTAGCGTGCCGAGCCCCCCCCCCCCCCCTTGTTCTGGTTACCATATTTTTTTTTTACAAAGGGTCCCTCCTTTGGTATATGTTGGAGATCATTTTTTGGTTGGCCAACATCAAACGTTTTCTAAAGGCGCCTTTGGCACCAATATAACTAAATTTGAGGAGAGCGCGCAGGAAAAAAAGCAATTTTTCCAAGTGCTCAAATGTCATCTTTAGCCCGTTTTTGCAAAAATTTAACTTGTGGCGCAGAAACTTTGACAGAACAGGATCCTGAAAGTATTTTCGGAGAGCTCGGAAAATCAAATTGGTCGACCTAATAAAAAGTTGACAAAATTTCCGCTCTCCAGAAAAATTTCTGCCTACGCCACTGAGTGTAGTACTTTTATTCCGTCTGAAAATTTTGCTCAGTTGTATTCGAAAAACAAAACATAAAAAATCAGAAATTTTCTGCGGTTTAAACTAAAACATTTCGTCCTGTTATAGCAGCTACCTTCTCGCTAGAAGTTATACTGAATGAGTAAAAATTGACAGCCCTGCATAATCCTGATTGTTTTGGCGCTAAAGTACAGGTATTCCGCGAAATGGTCGACGAAAACTTAGCGTAGCTCGTAAGAACTCTGCTCTGTTGCATAGGAAACACTAGGTTCTTCACTTTATTTGCCTGCTATTGTGAACATTTCCTGCTTAAATCGTGAACATTTTTCAATTAGATGAACAGTGCTTTTGCCCGGCCTGCATATAATGCTTTTTAAATTAGTCGAATTGTTACAAAACAAATTTCCTAGCGCGCTGAAATTTCAAAAAAAAAATCATTTTGCTATCGTGCTGAAATTTCGACAAAAGTATCCATTTGCTATCGCGCTGAATTTCTGCCTAATATATTACCAGGCTAAAAATCTCAAATTTGGCTAATCCAATGTCGAGAGCTAGAAAGAAGTGTTAAATTAAGTGTTACTTTAATCCCTAGCATTCGTGTGTAAACCAGCGCTTTCCTTTCAGTTCGTTGATAAAAAAAATCTGTTATGGTTTGATTCTTCGGACAAATTTGGCTGTTAGTTAGTCGTTTTAACTGGCTGCTTAGACCATGCAACAGATATCAATGCCCTTAGCTATATATTGAAAAATAACAAAGGATGTAATTTAGTTAGTTGAGCTTCATTCGTGTTTCTTTAGGTAAATCTACCAGGGTTTGCATTTTGCCTGTTTGTGATAATGAGTGGTTCGTTTCTTTCTGCATAAGTAGTCACACAAAATTCACTAAGTGATTTTAGCTACCCTATGAGAAAGTGTTATTGAATTACTAGTATGAACTACCAGTTTAATCCGGGTTTTAAAGTAGCAGGTTTCACCAGCTAGAGAATATTTTTCCAACGGCTTGAAATTTTAAGAAATAGCCAAATTTGGGAAAATTTTTGTTATTGTTTATAGCCCGATGTTTATGCGACCTGCTATCACCAAGTCTAAAAAAAATTTTAAAAATGAATATCAAGCATTTTTAATGTCGACCAGTATATAATCAGGCTGAAAATTTTAATTTGTGCTAATCAGGAGAAACTTTTTCATAGCTTACATGAAACGAAAGAAAAAGTTTAAATCGAACGAGAGAAGCTGATTTGAAGCTGATCCTCTGTGAAAACACTATTTACTTAGCAAGATCTAATAGTTTAGTCCAGGTCTTAATCTTTTATTTTCCAACGGCACGAAATCAGTCAAATTTAAGAAAATGGTTGATCTTGTTAGTATTAGCCCGATATTTGAGCTGCCGCCGGCATGCTTTCTTCGAGTCTAAGGATTGCTGCGTCTTCCACCGGATGACGAAACAAGTCAATTAAGGCTTTTGGGGCTAGATAAAAGATGCAGCGCTGTGCCGGGAGCATTGCAAAAGGGACGGCAGATATTTGGTTGAAGATGAGCCTAGTCGAGTGGGGCAGAGTCTTAACTTTCGCAGGGTTTCTTCGGCGGGGCTTTTGTCTTATTGGTATAAATAAATTTTGTGGTTGTAAGGTTTTAAAACTAAATTATGAACGCGCTTAGTTGGTTAAGATCGTTGAAATATTTTAGCTCGTTTGCTTGAAATTTAGTCAAGTTTCCCCTTAATAAGAGTCAATCGTATTGCGGCTTAGTTTGGGGCCGGTCATGGGTTAGTATGGTAAAATTGAAGAGGAGATCATCAGTAATTAAGTATTGAGTGAGGCCGAATTGGGATACAAGCAGTTTTTGGTGACAAGCAGTTTTTGGTGATTTGAGATTTATTAATTTGCTCTCTGATTGTAGGCGAGGTCAGTACGACTCATTTTAGTACACCCAGCCACTATGCGAAAAGTTGCTTTTTGTGCGATTTGCAGTTTAATTAGAGAGGTATCACTGTCAAGCTGGACAAGCGTAGTCCAGAATAATTCATATTAACGATTTGTAAGGAAAGATTAAAGTCTTTTTCGAGTGCCCCAGAAAGTTGGAGAAGAAACAGATTTGCAGCATTTGAAAAAAACTTCGAAAACTCATTTGTTCAGACCTCATATAAATCTGCCAATTATTAGAGTAATTCCAGTAGTATCATTGAGTACTAAAAGTAAGAGAACCGGTAAAAATGATCTCGATGTTGATGATACCAGAGAGATTAGTGGATCTACTTAACAATCTACCCCCTTTCAAGAAAGGGGGGAGATTCTTTAGTAGGTACAATAGGGGGGGGGGGGGAGATTGTTAAGTAGATCCAGATTAGTTAATGTAATTCAAGTTTGTTTTTTTTAGCCAATTTGCTCGGATCTTACATCTATACAAGCATTTAAATGTTTGAAATTGATATTTGATTGTCGATATGTAAGTAAGGGTCAATAAACGAAGTGAAGACACCGCAGTGCAAAAAAAATTTAATGTGTTTCAGGAAAATTTATTCACGCTCATTTTTTATCGGCTTGACTTTTGATGTCTTATAAATTCACTTCCATTTTTTTTTTGCTCAATGGAATTATACTCTCCAATAACTTAACTACAAATAGCGTGAAAAAACTTGAGCGACTTTTTATTTCAAAAATGAGTTTATTGATCCAGTTTTTTCGAATTAAACCAAAATTTTTCAACCGAAATTATAATTTTCAATTTTTTTGGGAGTCGTTGCTTTCCATAATTTTTGCGAGTTGTGTTGTTGTTACGAGTTGTTTTTTGTAGCGAGTTGTTGCGGTACACCAATTGGGAAACCTATAATATCATATTTTTTTCTCTTTGAGACTAGACTTCGTTTTTGGTTTCCGTGAGTTCATAGGTCTTCGTCCATCTGCCAGTTAGCTGTTTTTTGGTTGAACGTTTAGGCGACAAAATGGCCAAACTTCACTTCTCATTCCAGATCTACGACATTGACAAAGATGGATACATATCCAACAGCGAGTTATACCAAGTAAATATCACAGTTGTTCACCTGTTTTTATCAACTCAGTTTTACTATAGAATTTTTGAGCAGTGAAGGTATGTTCATTTTCCAGTACAAGAAGAGGTAATTCGGAATTTCACAGAATCAAATGAAAATGGAGACGCAGAACTTGTTTAATTACCCTGAATTTGATAACTGTTAAGGTATTGAAAATTCTGAACAGGTATTGAAAATGATGGTGGGCGAGAATCTGAAGCCGAAGGAGTTGCAGCAGGTAGTGGACAAGACCATGTTTCTCACTGACACTGACGGAGATGACAAGATTTCATTCGATGAATTTAGTAAAGTAGTCGAATCCATGGACGTGTTTCAGAAGATGGTAGTCGAAAACATTTGAACTGGAAACATAGCGAAGCATTCCTTATCTTTCTTCGTCTTTCTTTAAATATATTATGTCTAAATTTAGCTTTTGTTCTTATGTCGTTGTTTTTATGTACGTTGTTTTTATGTCGGCCAGGTTGATATTCCAAGCTAAAATTGAAAGATATTTTCACCGATCGGCAAATGTTTTGGCCTTATCTAGCTGCCAAATTTTTTCAAAGGGTCGTATCTGCGGTGCAATTTAAAAAGAACAACATTTGATTTTAGTTGATCAGCCCTAAAATTTTCCCCATATACGCCAGAAAAGTTAAAGAAAATTTCTGAAAACTTTCTGAAACCCATTTTGAAAAAATTAAGATCTAAATAATACGTTTAGTTTAAAAGATTTGGGATAAAACTGAATAAATTGACCAAAATTGACCAGAATGTTTGGGACAAAACTGAAGGTGAGAAAATGCTATGGACTACTTTTTAAGGACTAATGAAAATTATGATGCTATTTCGAATCTATAAAAATAGATAGTAAACAGCTAGTGCAGTCACATGAAAGTTGAGTGGTGGCGAAGTGGTCACGTCTCAGCCTCTCAATGGAAAGGTCGAATGTTCGAGGCCCACCATGATCTGTGCTCGTCACTGGAGGGTGAGGCAACATTGTCCAGCTCAGAAAAATAGCCAGAAAATTGCCTCTAGTTCTTAACCAGGGGCACAATAGCGGTTTTCCGTGAGGATCTGAACACCTACTTGGCCTTTTCCTTCGTGGAAAAATCTTCTAAACTTAAAAGTCAAATTTTGAGCCGAGAAAAGAAGTCAATTTATTTTGAAAAGTGGTAAACAGTTGAAATTGAAACTACGATGAAAGTCTTTTCGAATTCAACACCGAAGACAAGGTGTTTTTCAGTCTAGCAGTCAACTGTTGGGGTTAAAATCATCTGGTCACAAAAATTCAATCCAGAAACTAAAAGTTGCAATCAACGAAAGTTAATGATGAGTCATTAAAACAAAAGCTTCATAACAAATTTTTCATTTGTTTGCAAATTTTTTGTTGACTTACTTTAAAAAATCCAGGAGAGCTGATTCGTAAAAACTAAGGGTTTCAAGACTCAAACTCAAAGGGTTAGTTCAAATTTTTTCTTGCAATATTTTTGTTTTCGGCGTCTACATTAAAATTTTCAATTTTTGGGATAATTGCCGCTATTTATATGATTCTAAAAGTTGTTTTGATGATGATGACGGCGTTTCTCAGAATTTTTTCCCTGAAAATAAACTTCGTTCAATATAAACGTAGAAGTTTTTGTGATTGTAGTTTTTTCGACGTTGTTTTTCTGTTGATTTATTTTGCTTTCGAGGCTTCCTTTTCGTTTTCTATCCGCTAACTTGCCATCTTACATTGATGATTTAAAGTTATCCGGAAAACTGCTCACAAAATTAGACAAAAAATGAAAAAAAAGTTGCCGTAAATTCAACCAGAATTATTATGATGCAGTATGTTTTGCGAAAATAGCAACCAAAATTTCACCCCAAAAATAGGTCGTTTTGGCTTTTTTTAGTATATCGAGAATTACGCTCAAAGTACCAAGTTAATTCATACAGAAATTAATTTGCGAGAAGCCTCCTACTCATCCCAACTATATTCTAGAAAGTTGAAATCTTGAAAAATCAGTGTAAGAGAACACACTTGCTTGATAGCCAAAAAGGTAGTTTTTAATCGAGTTCTTTGGTTAAAAACAAATTTCGCGCAAAGTTTCGGTAAGTATCGTTCTAGAAAACTATTGGGCTTGTAGAAGGCTTCCTGTGACATAATTTTATTAATTGACATGGTAGTTAAGCGTTATTCTTGATCATGTAAAAAGCCAAAATGCCCTGCTTTTGGGGTTAAGTTCTGGTTGTAGTTTTTGTAAAATAAATTGCATCATATTAATTCCGGTAAAATTCAAAGCCACTTCACTTTTTGCTCAATATAAACACAATTTGAGAAAAAAGCATTGAACTTTTTTAGTGTTTTTGTTTTGTCCTTTTAAGGGTTTTGCGGGCATATTTTTATTACGACCATTTGAAAAATGAGGAGGAACTTTTTATTCTGGTGTGTTAAAGTTTTTAATTTTTTTGTTTTCCAAGCAAAATCAACTACCACAAATATTCATCGGAGAGAGTTGAGTGGTATATAATATTAAAGCCTCTATAGTCGTGATTAGATTGATCTTTTAAAATTTCAAAAATTATTTCCCAGTGTCGAGCCTAATTTAAATCGTAAAAATTTAGTTTTGCTCGATTAATGTTAGTTTTTTTGGAGTATTGGACCGCTATTTTGCAATGAAAAACTTCAAAAATTCAATATGCTCCAAAAATAAGTTGATTTTTTTGTTTTTCTAGTCATTTTCAACAAAAATAGTTTTTCAGTTTGCTTATTTACTATGACTATCGAATATCCCCAAGCGCTAGTTTTTTTTCAGCTTCGAGTATCGCACCAAGCCAAAAAAACGACCGTGATTTGAAAAAATTTTTTGTCGTATTTTTAGATAATGGTCGGAACATTCTGTGCCATTTGCGCAGTAAACAGCTATGGTTTTCTTTGAAAATGCTTCAGAATATTAATTTTTTAAAATTGTCTAGTGGCTGTTGTAGCATGTTTAAATCTGATTTTTGAGAGATGAGCCGTTACTTTAAGCTGTATTTGTGGAAATCCAAATATATTTGTTATTGAAACTCTGACCAATAGGGCTGCAATGTGATACCGTGCTTGATAGGCTGAAAGCTTTTCTTTTATATACTAAAATGACTCAAAAAGCGAACCTACGCCACAGTTCATTCTGGTGACCCGTTAATGTTGTGGGAACTGAGAAAAAAATTAATTGCTGTCTATTGCACGAAATCATTGACATTATTCTGTTTCTATTAGTATAGTTGCTTAGGCCAATTACTTAAGATATATTCTGATTTTAAATTGATCTTATTGATTAACTGTTAAATTGATGAATTGAGGCGTTCTGAATCGTGGTAATCGAGTAGCATATGGGCGCCCTTTATTTTTGACCCAGCTCGAAATGAAACGATCTCTTTTAAAAGGCTGTCTTCTCAACAATAAAGGCAAACATATGCTGTACACGGCTCTAAAAACTATTAAATCACCCTATTTTTTGAAATATGTGCTGTTTTTTTTTAAAATTATTCTTATAAGTTCTTGCTTGTGAGCCAGTTTTTGACAACCTATCTTCGAGTCGCTTGTTTAAGCTATTTTTGAGCTGAAATGAAATTATTCGATTTCGTTTCAGATTTGTATTCACATGAATGCGTTTTAATCTGATCCCTGTAACTCGGAACTGCCGAGTGCTTCTAGACTGCAGAATGAGCTCCTTAAAAGACATCCGTGTACCGTACGACTACGACGGAAACTCCACCCTCAACGACACGAACTTTCGAAGTTTGAACCCCTTTGAACTGTTCAAGCAATGGATGGAAGAAGCGGTCAAAGAGCCGAATATCAAGCAGCCGAATAAAATGGTAGTCGCCACATGTGACCAAAATGGACGCCCATCTAGTCGTTATGTTTTGTTAAAGGAATATGACACTGAAGGCTACGTGTTCTACTCTTGTCTAAACAGCAAAAAATCTAACGAGATCAAAGCAAACCCATTTGTAGCTCTTAATTTATACTGGGAATTTTTTCACCGCCAGGTGCGAATTGAGGGAAAGGCGAGCGAGGTAACGCGTGATCAAACTAATGAATACTTCATTTCAAGGCCAAAAGGCAGTCAAATCAGTGCGGCAATCAGTCCCCAAAGCGACCCGATTCCAGATCGGAAGTTTTTGGAAGATGCTTACTCCAAACTGGAATCAGAGTACGAAAATAAAGACGCGCTGCCACTTCCGGATGACTGGAGTGGATTCAAAGTGGTGCCGGACTATTTCGAGTTCTGGGCTGGAAATACTGACAGGCTGCATGATAGATATGTGTTCGACAAGAGGTTGAGTGCGGACGCGTTTGATGAGAAAACGATGACTAAAAACTCGGATGGTTGGATTGTGTATCGAATTGCTCCCTGAACTAACTTCTCAACATTATTTTCTTGGTATATCGAGCATTGTAGATGGAGAAAAACATTTAGAATTTATTTGAAAAGATTTGCTAGCATGGTTCTTAACTTATTGTAAATGTGAACAAAAACAACTAATGAGATGTCTATTTACACTTGCCAGAGCAACTGTGTTTAATCGGTAACTAGGTTTTTTTCCTGTCAACAACTTTTCTTAGACATTTTTAAATTGAAATTGATGTTGCTTTTTTATTGAGTCTTAGCAACTTCCAGACCTCTTCTCACTTTGCCTGGAGGTAATGCGGTTGCATTTGCACACCATGCTCTGGTTTTCGAGTACCGACAGGACCTTGGTTTTTTCAGTGTCTGAAATTGAAAATTTTAATAGTCGGACAATAGTTTGTTGGCTGGTGTTTTGTTGGCTTAGTTGCCGCGCCAAATTTTTTTGCGCTGTACGCAGTTTTCATTCTTGAAGTTTTTAAAATTTACTATCCCAGACTGGCATTTTTACCGTTTTTTGTTTGCTTAGAATTTATTCGGCCTAAATGATTTCGGTTCATGTTTTGTCGGCTTAGTGAAATAATTTTGCATCGGGTAAAGGATAAAAAATGATTATCATTGTTTTGAATGAGTCAGGTCGGTTGGTAGAATGAAAGTTTAAGTTAAAGTTCAAACTTTTTATCGCTCAAAATTTTTTTTGGCTTTCTGGTTGTCGGGATTAATCGGTGTTTACACTAGCGTTCAGCTTAGTGTATTATTATGAACCTTCTTTCTTTTCTAACATAACTCGCAAACAAAAGTGTTCATTAAAAGTGTTCCTTATTTAGAAATTTTACGGTAGCTTCATTATATTCGGATGTGGTGTTTTAGTTGTTCTTTTTTTCTAAGCAAAGTCAGCTCTACAAATAATCATTGGAGAGAGTTGAGTGCTATATCATATTAAAACCATTTCAGTCGTGATTCCAAGGATGTTAAACATTGTAGAAAATTCTTCCAATGTCGAAAAAAACTGGTTGAAGTTTTTTCATTTTTTGCTCAATTTTGAGTGAAAAACGCGATCGAGTAATGTCCGTTATATGAAAATTGACTATTTTTTCACACTAGTGTATTATTGTGAAGTGTATTATTATAGCTTAGTGTATTATTACGCCCCTTTTTTTCTAACCTAACTCGCAAATAAAATTGTTCACTTATTTGGAAGTTCCACTGTGTAGCTTTGGAAATTGTATAGCATCTGTTCTCCGCTTTATTTGCGGCTAGTGTTTGTGACTTTCCAGCGTCCGTGGCTGAGTTGTTACTCTGTGGGATTCTCAACCTATAGGTTGAAGGTTCGAATCTCAGACGTAGCTGATTTTTTATTTGTTCGAGGCTTATTTCTAATTTTTGTTAATGCACTTTAAATAGCTGCTTTTTGTCGTGTTCTCGCTAGTGTTTGCGAAGCTTCGCCTCTGTGTCAACCACGTGTTGTCGGCTTAGTGAACGCTCGGAAATTTTAAAAGCTTGTTTAATGCTAGAGCTTGTGTTTCTCGCTTGTTTTTCTATGATTTTATGACATCTGTCCTTTTTGATTTTTGGGTCAATTGGCGTCTAACCAGGCTTGATTGGCTCAGTGGATGCTCGGAAAATTTTATAAACTTATTTAATGCTATTGGTTGGGCTTCGTATCTGTTTTCCTGAGATAAATTTTTTGTATTATTTTTTATGACATTCCTTTCTTTTAGCATTTTTTGTTTTCGGCTCAATTGGCGTCTAAAAACGCGTTATTGCTTCAGTGAACGCTCGGAAAATAGTATAAGCTTTTCTAATGCCTGTGGTTGTGTTTTTTGTCTGTTTTTTCTAAACGAATTTTTCATACTTAAAAAAAATGATTATTGTTATGACATCAGTGTCCTTTGGCATTTTTGATTTTCGGATCAATTGGCGTCCGAGCACGCGTTTTGGCTCAAAAATAGCGCTCGCAAAATACTATAAGTTTGTCTAATGCTAGTGGTTCGGTTTTTCGTTTCTAGCTCTATTAGTTGTGGTTTATGAAAACAATTTACTTTGGCATTTTTTGTTTTCTAATTTATTGGTAGCTAACCACGTGTTGTTGGCTTAGTGAACGTTTGGAAAATACTAAAAGCCTGTTTCATTAAATTTGAATAAAATTTTTGAAAGTTTTTTTTCGTCTGTTTTCATGTTTTTGTAACGCAAATGTTGCTAAGCTCCGTTTCGCTTGTTTATTTTTTATGCAAGCATATAACTAGTTTTTGTCTTATTTTATTTTAAGAAACTTTAGGGCATTTCAGGTGCTTTCATTCCTCAAATGATCATCTTGCCAGAATTATTTAAGTACAGAATCTTGCCAAAATCATCAAAGTAATTTGTTTATTTTTTTGTCGGACAATTTTTTGATCTAGCCAATTTTGACTAGAATTTTTCATATTATCTGAAAGTTCTTGATGTCCTGAGGTCACTCCTAATGAAATTCTTACCTGTTTTACTTTTTAACTTATTTTTTCTAAAGTCATGGGGGCGATATGTTTGCGCGCTAATAACACATGAGCGACGATTTAATTGGGCTCATTAGTGATTCTCAGTTACAATGAAATTAGTTTTTTGATTTTTATTAATAGACGGACTTATATCACTTTGAAGTTAACATAGCTTGTACATCTGTTTTTCCTCACTTTCGAGGAAAGTAGTGGAATATTATTGCTCGGGGTAGTTTTTTTCTACAGAAGAATTTTGACTTTTTAAGTAGCCATATTTGATATCATCTGAAAGCTATTAATCTGAAAGCTATTGACCCGAGTTTGTTATGGAGGTTTAAAAGTTGCCAGTCTGGCCAATTTGGGATAAGTAACGCACGATATATTTCGTGCTTTTAACGCTTAAGCGTGCAAGTAATCCGGCTCAGAGGTTAAAGGGCAGCCGAGACCGTCATGGCTTTGCCTTGGTAAGAGCAGTTTTGTTTCAAGAAAATATATAACCATCTGAAATTTCCTAAATTTGTCAGGTTGAACCTGTTCGAAGTTCATTTGATATGAAATAAATCCAGCTAGTTGAACTAGCATTAAATTTTTAATAGACGCTTTTAATATCAAATGTTTTCGAAAATAGTAGTGAACCTGTATAATTTCTCTAGAATGGCGAACTTGTGAACATCAGGTCTCAATATTCAAAATTTGATATTTGAAGTTTTGCTCCCTATTTCTGTTTTAGTCGGAAAATTTCTCGCTTTTTAGAAAACCTTTGGGCGACAATCTCCGAAAAAGTTTTAAGAATTCAATGGAAGTGGGCTCAAAATATAATTGACGCTTGGCAATTGCCCAAATGAAACTTGGTTTTATGTATGTTAGGTCATTGGTCATTAGGTCATGTTAGGGTCTAGTGACTGGATATTCCTAATTGAGAAAAGCTGAGTCCCAATAAAGTTCTGAAATCGTGCTACTAATATTCAGTTGTCGCTGTGAGTCTAAAATTCAAATAGGAGACTGAAATTCTGAAGAAAATGGTAGTAACTTCATTAGCAAAAAGTAACAAAACAGCGTTTCAAAAAATCAATGGTTGAGTAATTTTGAGCCAATAATGCGAGAGAAAAGTTCAATCGTTTTTTACCTATAATTTGCTGAACAATATTTCGTAAAAAGTGCCCTGAATTTATTTTAAAAAGTTTGTATTGAACTGGATATATTAGTTTTTGAAGCTGCTCGTCGTTTTGCTTTATCGATTTTTTGTATAGAAATTTTGAATGTCATCTTATAAATTTCAAGTTTGAGGGCAGAAATTGTTTTCGATGTTCGATCAAAATTTGAATTCCTTGTTCACAATTTAGAGGGAGAATTCTTGATCTTTTCACGAGGAAAGTTTGTTCACAAGTCAAGCTGCTTTTTAGAGTCCTGCAAAATCTAAATCAATAAAACTTTCAAGGCACGTTACCAAAAATGGAAGTCTCCTGACTTCTGTGATTTCGTTTGTGAACTTATTTTTCAAATTTTTCATTCTAAAAATCATAGAAAGTGACTTCTCGACATCATTCATCCTCTACACAACCACACAATAAGTTTGAAGACTTTGATCTGAAAATCATCCAAGTTCTGCTACAAAACCAGCTCTCATTTCAAAAATAAATTCCCCAGTTTTCTTGCGCGAAGGTTTACTGTATAATTTTTGTTCCTCGACACAAATTTTGGCGGCACACTTGATTTTGTTTCATATTGAATCAATATTTTGATTCTTGATCTAATTAAAAAGGAGTGCTGACCTGATAAAACATTGAGAAAGTTATTGTCTTTAATTCATTTTGCGTGCATCATCCGAACTACAGAACTACATTACTTAATCAGTTTTATACTTTGCACCGCGCAGAGTTTAATCGTGCATTTTTTTACTGCTCACGTTACAAAAAAAGAATCAGTTCAATAATAAGTTCGTTTCATTTATATTTAGTTTACGATGTTTATTATCTTATCATAATTGTTATCTGTCTTCTGAAACATTAGAGTGAAAAATTTTGCAAAAGTTCTTTGGTTTTATCTTTGGATTTGGAATTTTATTAAAAATGGCCTTCGATTTGTACAATATGTACCTTTCATTACTATTATCACCACAAGTTGTGCCCCCCAATTTAGTCCCTCAGATGCCGGCGCTTGTGCGGGCGGAGGTCGGAAATGTTCCAACGCCTGCTGAGACGAGCATCAATTTGCTTCTCCCAATGCTCAATAACCCCCAAATGATGGCACAGCTTCCAGCGCCAGCGGGCGAAACTGTTTCAGCAAAACCGAATCTCACTTCTGGCAAAAAGTCTTTTCTGGGCCACGGGAAGAATTCTTTGGAGGACAGAAATTGCCCAATCACTATGCCTACCTTGTCTGATGAACAGGAATTAGTGGATCTTAAGCGAAAGCAGGATTATCGAATGGACTTATCGACTAGAAAGAAGTATGCCAAAACGCTGCCAGGTGAACGTTGTCAAATTTGCAATGATGTCGCTTCTGGAGTGCATTTTGGGATTTTTTGTTGCGAAGGCTGCAAAAGGTTCTTCCAGCGTGCAACTGTGGGAGGTATCAAGAAACTGAACTGCAAAACAGGCACCAGAGAGTGCAACGTGACCGGAATCAATCGGACCAGATGCAAGTACTGTCGCTTCAACCGCTGCATTCAACTAGGAATGTCCTCCACCATGATTAAACTTGGCCGAGACGCTCGCAAAAGAGCCAGAGCTATGCCCCAGCCGAATCCAGATCATGATTTGGAGCATCTAATCAGAAACTTGGATGCAAAAGATCGGAAAGCGATTGAGTCTTTCTCAGTTGATAATTCAGCCCTGCAGCTCAGCGTGCGAATGGATTCGACTATGAGCGAGCATTCTGAAGAGTCCCCGAGAGACGAAAGTGTGTCGTCATCGTCGACGTCGCACTCCCCAAACTCGAATTGTCAAGAGTTTGATTTTCAATGCAACAATGATTCCAACGACACTGAGACACAGGACCCAAATGAAATCTGTGAGGTTGTTCAGATTTCGGACGAATCTGAAGATGAAAAATCGAGCGATGAGAAGACGGTAAACATGGTTTATCAGACGTATATTTGTAATCTGTACAGAGCTACTAAGAAAACAGTAATTGGAATCATAACCCAATTCGATTCAACTACAAAGGACGTCCTCCAAACGACATCGGAAGCCGCCGTTTCTTTCATTGGTAGGATTCCGGGAATCGAATTGAATGCGATTTCGAAAAACGATGTGGTCAAAGCCCATTTTCAGACGACGTGTACTCAAATTGTTGCCAAATTGTGCTTGAATGCCTTGCGAGCATTACGATCAAATTCATCTGCTATGTTGCGGACTAAGTTGATTCATATAGAACAACTTATTGCCTCTTGCATTGACATCATAGCAGAGGAGTCGCAAAGAAATACCCAAGAAGATTCAGAAGTAAAGGAAGCTTTTGACTTTCTGATGACTGTTCTAAGAGTCCTCGAAAAACTTCCGAGCACGGAATTGAAACTGAATGCAGCCACGCTGATTCAGCATTCTCAACTTGACTGACAGTCAAATGACTTGAACTGATATTGATCTAATCAGTTGACCAGCTCTCAAAGAAATTGAACCGACGCGTGACCAACTAACTCACTGATTATAAAAGTGAACATTTTAATGTTTCAATGATGTTTTCTTTTTCCAATTTAGTTGATTGAATACTTTCCTTGTTGCTTGAAGAACTCAAAGAGTCTAATGCTAGGTAGTTTTTAGTAAATTTTGCCTTAATAAGACTCACTTCTAGTTTTTGACATTTTGAACGTTATTAGTTGTCAATAGCGGCAATTTTTATAAATATAATTGAGCTGTGTGCCAACCAATGGATTGAAATCAATCCGATTTCAATACACGAAAGCAAACAGACAATTTCCCAACCTTTTCTGGGTCCAGTTGGATTCTGAAATTTGAGTTTGGTTGAATCCGATTGTAGAAAATCTAGTACTCGGCACCATTTTCAGCATTATCAGACATCAGAATCTACCTGCCATTTTGTGCCGTATCAGATTTAAGAGGGGAGCGCCTCCCCTCTCAGAGGATTCGCCCCCCCCCCCCCGAAACATGGCAATTGGACGACATTTTGCGGCCCAGGCTGAGCCCTGTCGGCGATCAAGTTTCTCGGCCAGTTACCGGCCCACTGGGATGAAATTCCCGACCGGATGGTTAAAAACATGGTTGAGAAAGAAATGACGTAAGTTATAAGCAAAGCGAAGTTTTATCACAGTAACTCTTATCACAGTAACATTTCACAAAGTGACATATAATCACAGTAAGTTTATAAATCACACTACTCTGCTCCGAGTGGGACATGAAAAGTACATATAAAGTATCGCATGACAAATAACTGCCGAGTTAAGTTGAACAGACCGGCTCTGTTAAGACATCGAAAGCATCTTCCACGGTAGCCGGCTTGAAGTTAGGGCGTCGCTCAGATACCGTAGACTACAGTCTGAGTAGAGTCTCTCAGACTGACCGGATCTTGCCTGTATCCCTCTGTACCCTGTAACTTTTCGCCCAATTCTCGTAAGCAGCGTCAATTTTGAAGAGTTGTTCCAAAAATGCAGCACATCGACGTCTATGCTCGTCAATGGATGAATCTTGTACTGCTCGAGCTCATGCTGGCCAGCCTGTGCCAACGAACATTCATCATAGATGATCAACGGTTTTTGCAGAACCTGCGAGGGTTTGGGAAGATCATCCGGCATGTCCAAGAAGTCTTTGTGAGGGTGGTTAGGCTGCTGCTGCTTCACACGATGGTGCAGTGCAGCTGGCTCTCCATCATCTGGAGGTCGCAAAAAACGTACCTGATTTCATCCACATCTGTGATCACTGGCTCATTGAAATCTATGTCGCTTATTGTCTGTCTCGACATGACCAAAAACGTGCAGAAGGTAGAGTCCAAGAATTTCCTGATCCAATGGTAAGTTTTGATGGAGTTGTAGAATTTCTCATGCATACCTTTCACGATGGAGGCTTTGAGTAACTGTAAAACCTGAGAATCAGTCCGAGAGCGATTAAAGTTTTTCAACATCTTGTAGTAGCTCAAGGAAACTAGGCTGAGAATTGGCGTCTTGGACACTTCCCTTTTCTCGAAGACGACCGTGAATTGCTTGTACAGGATAGTAAGTGTTCTGTTCAGCTCCAGCTCCACACTTGCTTATAGAGACAAAATGTCGCGAGACGTTAGTATCTCGCCTAGCTTGCCCTTGCTTGAGTCAATGCTGCTTGCCCGCTGCTCAATAGTTGTCCAACTTCTCGTGACGCAAGTAGTTGACGAGCTCTTAAGCGGCATCGCTGTCGTCTTTCAGAGCAACGGAAGTCACACATGCAACCTTCCAGTTGCAGAGGCGATGGCTCATGCCGTCCAGGAAAGCGTCGTCCTTGAATGCACACACGATGTTGGACCCGCGATCGGATGTCACAATAAGTTTGTCGCAAGGGATCCCGTACTTCTCTAGAATAGGGTTAATTGCCTTGCATATGTTAGTCGAGTCATGCTTCTCTGTTCAGAAATGCTTCAGTACCAGTGTTGCTGAGGCAACTTTCCCTCAATTTGATAAATCATGAAATAAATCAAAATTGATTCTGAAAGTCACTGAGATTTGTAACAACCAATGCGAAATCTGAATTGAACACTCGTGAAACCTGTTAAGAAAGATTATCATTACAATTTTTGGCGAATGCTGAACTGCGATTACTATCACCATTTCAACAGTCGAGTAACCTGAGCAAAATTTTTTTCACTCGATTTTTTTTTCTAACAAAAACAAACAAAACTTAGCTTAATAAACCTGATCTTCCCCGGTATTTTTTCCTCAAGTCTAGCACACCAGATTTTTCATCTGACCTTTGATAAAATACCGTGAAAATCGAACAAAACAATCGACTGCACGGCTCAAATTATTTGGAAATCAGCTTCAAACTGCTGCGTGTTAACGAATTCAACAACAGAAGACTAAGCAAAAAGCGGAAGAGAAATGGTCTGAAAAAATTTAAATGCATATATAAAAGAAAAAAATCGTTGCTTTCAATTAATATATGTTTAATTATATGTTGATATTGATTTTGTAACCCCGAGTTGAGCGAACAAAGTATCCTACAACTATTCTGAGGAGAGCAAGTTTGAGAGTAAAGCAAAACTTCCTTTTATAACATAACCTGTAATACTTGCCACTTTTCTTAGCCGCTTTCCTTCCAGACTTGGTCTTTCCCTAACCAAGGAAAACCAAGCTTTTTGAGCACATCTGAGTTTAAAAAACCTAATTTGAAACGACGCGAACGTGAGTTTTTGTTTTCCGTAAAGGTGGTCCTGCCTCCCATGTAATCAGTTTATTAAAAACTGAGAAATTTTTCATTTTTCAAAAGAACGTTTTTTTTCAGCGTTTTGTCGATTTGTAAATAACTTTGAAAAAAAAAGTATTTTTTGAAATTTCCTGTTTTGTATTTTACTTCCTAATCTACCTGAACATCTTAAGAATAATTAAATTTGAATTTTGTAAAAATAGGCTGAAAGATTTTAATTTTTTAAAATAAAAGTTGCTGAAGCAGTTATTGAGCATGCTGGTTGGTTCTTTCTTGATTTATTGTGAATATAGTTGTCGTTCCCTTATCTCGGTTTGAAATGTGTTTGCGTGTAGACGCGTTTTCCTCTCGTTGTTTTTGGAAAAATGTCTTCTCTTTGTATCCTTGCCTTGAGCTTAGCCTGTTGATTACGATCAAACCGAAACAATTGAAAAAATCATTTAAGTTCGAGATTACCAAAAAAAATCATAAAATCATAAAAAAGGTTTTTTCTCTTAAATATTGATTTTTGGAAAGAAAAGCAAACCTAATTTCACAAAAAAAACCTGAAAAATCTAATAAATATATATACTTTGAAGCTTGAAAAAAAGTATCAAAATATTGAAACGTTACACATATATATATATATATATATATATATATATATATATATATATATGTGTGTAACGTTTCAATATTTTGATACTTTTTTTCAAGCTTCAAAAAAAAGTGAGAAATTTGTTGAATAATATCAAACAAAAAACCTAACAAATAGTTAGTTTGACCTTCGCTTTTCGAACAAAAAACCTAAAACTGATATCATTCGAAGTAATGAACAACAACTAAAAAACATTAAATTATTAAAAATACAAACACTATTCTGAACAGTCATTTAAAGTATTTACTTTCAATTTGCTATAAAACTGAAAAAGAGGCAAATTGCTGTTTTTTTTTTGTTTTTTTTTCCTTAAAAAATGGCCTAAACGCAAAAATCGCCGTCTTTATCTACGACTCTCAACAATTATCGACGATGCTAACACCAACAACACGTCGACAATAACTGCAAAAATTGCCTCCAGCAATTTCAGGCTAGCTCAAATTGAAATGAGTCGTTCTATTGAATTCCTACGATCAAAGATAGAAAGAGGGACCTTTATGAGTTCTTTAAAGACTTTGACGTGGAAAACAGAGGACTGATTGGAACAATTGAAAGTAATATCAACCGAAGTGTTCTCAAATGGATCTCCAGAAGACAAGGACGATACTATGGAGATATGTGCATGTCTCTCAGGACAACTTTTAGAGCTAACCCACAATGTTATTATTTTGAGCGAAGATGTAACCAGCTCTTCTGGTTCTAATACAGATAACGTAAGCAAATCGACAGCTGTATCCGGACGAAACACCTTCGTCAATGACACACTTGCCGATTATCAGTTAACTCAGCCCTCTAGCAACCGCGTGAACAATTCATCTGCCGGAGAGCTAATTAACTTTCAGAACGACATGCCACTTCAACGAAACTAAAGCACCGACAATATGCAAATATCTTTGAACTGCAAATGAATCCTTGTCTAGAGAGTTAACATATCTAACTTCTCAGTCAAGAAAAGAAAGCCTGGACCAAGAAAGAGTTACAGGACATGATCAACCTATTCAACCAATAAATCACCTACTACTTGCATCAGTACAACAAGCGTCGCCAGCCAATAAACGTTTGAATTGACGCCATAAACCGTTCCAGTTTTCAGCTTCTGTAGTCCATGGAAATCTACACGAAAAGTTTCCATTGGAATTCTCATTGCTGATGTCAATCGTCAACAAACAGAAAATTTTATAAAAACCTCAACTTCAAACGATAGAAGTTTTCTTCTAACTCATCAGAAAAATATAGAGCAATATACATTTTCTCCTACCCTCATACAAATGAATCAGAACTTGTTTGTTCAAAGTAACTCAAATGAAACGCAATTTGGATGTGAACAACCAGCTAGTGAATAGTCATAGGAATAATAGAAATCTTTTAAACATTCTACATGCACATCAACAACATGAACAGGCTTTCAAAAAACCGATCTAAATACACAGCTAGCGAACAGAGTAAAAACGCATTTAGAGAAACGTATATCAAGGTATTTCAGTCATGGTAACTGCAACCAAATGCCACCCCATCCGCTAGTGCAAAATCTTTCATACAACTAGATAATGGAAACCCATGGTAGTAAATGAAACAAACCAAACAATCTACAGCCACAACTTCTTATTAATCAGGTTTTCAATAACCCAGTTTTATCAAACAGCGAACAGAATAG